CAAAGCAATTCTAGTTTATCTATACATGGGCTGCATCTAACCTGTGTATCCCCACCTGCTGATTACTGATATACTGTTTACCAAGCACACATAGGACAGGACCCTCAACAGGACATCCAAATGTGTTAAAGATCCTACAGGATGGCTGCAAAATTACTTCCTGAGTGTCACACATTGGATGATTTCCGCACCTATGCCAACACACGCGCATTTCCTTTGAGGCAACATGTTATGATGGGAAGTAGAGGATTTCCTTTGTTGTGAATAAGCCCAACATGCTACTTTTTAGATTGAAAGTACTTATCTGAAAACAGATAGGAAACCCACATTTCCTGTTTTGTGAAGGAACAATAATCATTCAGTAAGTTATACTTAAAAATACCAGTGGGCAAACTGCTGCCTTTCACCTGAAATCCATCCTACTATAGACAGACTAAAACTCCATGGAAAGAACAAAGACAGTATTTAGCATGAATAGTAGTCGTACGAGTGAAGTACAGTCTAAATATCCCACATTTCTCTCTGTTCTAGTAGTTTTATATGAACATTATTTCAAATGTGGAGAGACAGAAAAAAGGAAACAGACATGTTGTTAAGAAGCAGTTTGAACAATGCCTACTTTGCTCTTCATCAAAATAGCAAAACTGATACTGAACTATTTCCCATTACCAAGTTTTCCTCATAGCATTGGAAAACAAGAGGACAACTTTTGCAAATAAATACTATTTGCAAATTCTAAGCACAGTCCTGCTAAACTTATATACAATTTAAAAACACAAGATAAAAGCGGCACAATCTGGAAAGCCAAAAAGCAGATACAACATTCCTTTTCACACCCCCGTCATCACCTTATTCTGTCTTTCACATAAATGTCTATATGGCTCAAGTCATCTTTAATAGGTCAACACTCTTCCAGTATTTCGATTCTGATTTCAACCACCTTCCAGTATCCAAAATTCTAGTCTCATTCTGTTTATAAAAACAATTCAACTGCCCATGGCCAACACAACGATCATCCCCACAAAAATCATCCTTGAACTTCTAATTCTATCATTATATCCTAGAATTCTGATATTTTTAAACATCATTTTGGATGTCTCAATAACCTTTAGAAGCAAAGTTAATAAAGCATGTACTAATAGCACTGTTGCTGAAACTAGTATTCTTTTTAATCCATTAATCTGCATAAATTTCTATATATTAATAAACATTGTGAGGAAAAAGTCTACTTTGTTCTTAGATGCTCCATGAATGTATCATAGCAGACAGCATGTTACCATATTTCAAGATGGTACCTGATACCCATTTTTTTAAAATAATGGTACTAAAAACTATTTGAATACCAAAACTGGTTACCTAGTCAATCAGTTTAAATAGACTGAAACCCCTTCAATCAATTTAAAAATTGCCTTGACTAATGGACAAAGATTAACAGTCACAGTTAATGGACTGAAAGAACAATGGTCAACCCAAAGACCATAACTGAATAAAAAAGTCTTGCATCACTTTCTGAAAGGGGGTGGTTCCGTAGACATTTCACATTCCAAACCTGATGAGAGGTTAAAAAGAATCCTTCCTTCATTATATGCCTATTCAGGTTCCAGTGAGTAAAGGCCACCCACAGAAAGGTGCTATACGACAAATTCAGAGATCACCATGGAAAACACAGGGATCGTATGAGTTACCACTTACAACGGATATCTTGAATACTGCCAGAAAAACCAGGTCAGTAGAACAGTCACTCAGAAAAAACAAGTGTTTCATAGAATTGAACTGCCCACATTAAGATTTTGTTTTTAGGTTAACAGGAGAGTTCTCCTCTGCACACTTTCCTGCTCCCACCATAGAAGTTAACTGGCATGCTAGGGTGTTTGTCCACTTATTTGAAATGCAAGATCTTCCTAGCCAGGAGAAAACCCCATTCTTGTTCTTCCTCCCATGCAGAGGCAAAGCAGTGACTAAGCAAAGCTATGAGAAGATGGGCGAATGCTGTCACTTAGGTAACAAGATGAGCAGGAGAAATCAAAATCAAACATCACTTTGAGTACATCCAAATAGCAGAAATTTGGGAGAAATCTTGCATGCACTTCTGCTCTTTTGCTGTTACATTACAAGACACATAAGGGCACATTCCTCTACAGAGTTAAACAGGAACACACACACACACAAGCACCTGGTACAGGTAACTCTGCAACTGAAGTTCTTCCTAAAGTACTTATAAAGCATGTGATATTTAAGCACAAATTTTATCTCCCTGATTGTAGATTTAAGTTATGCAAATTAAAGCAGCAATTATGAGGTTATTTCCCAATCTCTATTGTTTTTCCCACTCTAATGGACTACCTTGCACACTTTCTTAAAGAAGTCTATGTGTTTGCACATTCTACATGGAGGAAGCACATCCAAGGTCCTTCCATATCTATTTTAGGAAATAGGGAATTTAGTTTCTTGACTTTTTTGAATCAACATCCCAAACTACAAACTAGAAAAGTCAAGCACTGTAAGTGTTTGGCAGAGCAGGGAGAGTAAATGCAAATTGATTTTTAATAATCTGGTTGCAGCCATTTGGCGGAATTCAGAACAGTGCTCTTCCTTGTAATCATCACAGAGGCATGTAACTGACAGCACTACAATCCTGATGGATATGTTTAAGTTCTATCAAAGCTCAGTGAAGGAAAAAACCAAGCCATACAGCTTCTGAAATCCAAGCACATCAATATAATTTGGCAAAAAAAACCACCTTCACTTTCTACACATGCCGATACGCCCTTGCTCTGTGAAGCCAAGACTGAATGCGCTGTTTACTTTATTTCTTTCCCCCCTACACACACTCGCTGAGAAGAATCTTTCTGCAAAACATTACATGACCGTGAATTAATTCTGCATGCAAAACTAAGATTTGCACATGCTTCTCAAAACAACCCCCTGCCTCATGCAATCATGGCACATCACAAGTTCTTTTTGAAACTAAGGGGATTTTAAATTGTGGTTTTTCATGTGGAATGGGAATCTGCTGCTCAAAAGGAAGAAGGCAAGAATCCCATGCAGGCATGCCTAAAGACAGCTAGATTATTCTAACATGCTCTACTTGGCTCTGGCTTTCAGAAGTGCTCAGAGGTTTTACATGGTGCACAACGCAACAGCCAGATCATTTCTTGTGACATGACATTCAGACCACATTTGTTCAGCATTATTTTCAGCTTATCTGACTGCCAGTTTATTTCTGGACCAAAATAAAAAGCTGATTTTAGCTCTGAGGCCCTACATGGTCCAGGACCTGTGCTTCAATGACTGCTTCCTATATGCCATCTGAAATGCAGCAGATGGAATGTGAGACAGAGTTTTTCAAAGATGGTCTCTTACTTTTGCAACTCCATTCACAGAGTGGTCCATTTGTCCAACTTCCTGCTCATGATGGCTGCATTCTGATGTCCTGATAACCATGGTTTATCATGATGGCAACAAACAACAAGTCTTGGTCTTGCATGGTCCCCCAGTGCAACATGAGGAGAATGGAAACACCCACTTTTTTTATTAACCACAGTTTATTTCTGAAGTTACAATTGTGATTAATATTAGCTGTGGTTTGTTGAAATAAGCCAACTTCACAACCCATGGTTTGAAGATGACTTTTTGCAAACAAGCCATAATTAAGATTAACCCCAACTTGTTGGGTTCAGATAAAACAAGAAGTTCTAGATAATAAAAAATGGAACCAAAAGCATCCATACTCTGTATTGCTGTTCTGGAGAAGAGAAAGGAGGCACAAGTACATAGAATTTACAGTGGTTTGTTCCCATTGCAATACATTGGCCTTTCCCACCCTCATGGTCCCCAGATGTTTCTGAACTATAGCTTCCATCACCCCAGCAAGCATTGCTAACCATTATGGCAGGGGTCCTCAAACTTGTTGAATAGAGGGCCAGTTGAAAGGTGCCAGTGATGGGTGCGGGCCACCAAGGAGGTGTGGCCAGGGGGCGTGGGCTGGGGGGACGCACATGTGCATGCGCAGAAAGGCAGGGACATGCGTGCACAGAGATAATTTTCTCCCAACGAGTCCAAAACGATCTCCCTGTGAGCAAGCCAGCACCTCGGGGCCAACTTGCTCACAAGGAGATCGTTATGGACTCACTTGCAAGGAGATCCTTTTCTCCAAGCAAGTCCAAAACAATTGTCTCCTCGCTCCTTGCTTGGAGAAAAGGCTCTCCCGGCAAGGCGCTGGCTTGCTCACAAGGAGATCCTTTTCTCTGAGTGAGTCCAAGCCGGCACCTCGCTGTGTGCATGCATGCCAAGCTATAGCGGGACCTAGCCCGCGGACCGTAGTTTGAGGACCCATGCATTAGGGAATCCATAGCCCATAACATTTGAAAGGTGTCAGGTTGGGGGAAGATTGTGAAAAAAATATGGTTTATTGAGACAAGTGAACACAGCCATCCTGTCAAACAGGAATACTTTAAGTAAGCTTTTAAAGTAAATACTTGGGCTAATCAACTTATTTTTGCTGAGTTGTTTATTGCTGTATGTACTACATTTTTTAATATTGCAAGCTGACATATTTCAGTAAAAATAGAAAGCAATTTTCAGATCCCAGATCTAGCATGTATGCACATTTTAAGTCTATATCATTTTAAACAGAAAAAATATTTTTTCGTTCTTTCTACAAATTTCTCAGTATGACAATTCAAAACTCAACCGCTAAGAGTCAAAGAAAAGCTTTAGGACTGCTACAGATATAAGACACATAATTCTTTAAAATACTCTGCGTAATCCTGTTCTATTAAAATTGGTGAATTTGTATTATTTCAATGGAGCGGGAGAGAAATGCATCCATGACAACTTTTTCTTGTATACTTTTCATTAGCAAATTTAAGCCATGAAGGAAAACATGCATACAAACATCAGAACACCATACCAACTTTAAGAAAGAAATAGCACAGGCCTATCATTTAGTGTTCAAAGGCAACAGAATAGAGGACAGTAAAGAATTTTGCTGTACTTACTGGTATGTAGTAGATATTCATTTTGGGGGCTTCATTGGCTGTGAACAGCATTCCTACAAATGTTAGGAAAAGTAAGGTTGTTCAGTCCTTTTTAACTCTTGGAAGTTTGAATTGAACAAGGATCTTTGTACAAATACTGCTGATATTTTATCAATGCAAAAGCCAATACAAAACAGACACTGAATTGTTCAGTAGATATAGAAGCACTGGTCAGTAAAAAAAATCCTTTATTCCATGGTGCTTTGGGTAATTCCTTTCTCTGTCCTGTTACCTACCACATAAACCCTCCTACAACCATACACATGCAACGTATGTCAAAGTTTCTACTGAATTCAATAGAAAACTTGCTATTGATTTTAATGGTGTAGGCATCCAAATTGTTAAAACTTTCTGCTGAAATTTACTTGTTAGTAAGCCTAGTCAACACATGCTCAGCAGTATGCTAATAGCCAACACCCACTAACAGGAAATGCAAGCCGAATTTTAGTGTCTCAGCTCTGCATTTTTTACATGGCACTGACCTCTAACATTACTAATCAGAAGAAACTTATAGTGGAAAAATGATCAGCCTGAGTGTGTGTTCTAACAGATACTATCTAATCTAGTCCATTAGTAATATGTGGTTAATCATTTTATAGCCAGAGGGGGTTAATGTAACTTTCATAGCAAGTTGTACACAAGATGTACACAATTAAGGCAAGTAAGACACTCATTTCCCTATTTCAAAAATTAATGGGTACATATTAGGAAGGTGTTTTCTAATCTTAAGGAGATAGCCATCTGCAGCCGAACAGGACAGCCACAGGCTCTTTCATAAGGAAATGAAAGTTTTAAAAGGTCTCTTCAAAGCTTGAAGCTTGTAATACCTTCAAAGGAAAGAACACATGAAACAATGGCCTGATTCATATGACACAATAACCAGAACTTTATAAAATTATGGGAGAATATGAATGAGTGGGAGTGACTGGTGAAACAAACCATGGACCTTCTGTCTATGGTTTGGTTTGTGTTATATCCAAACCAGGAACTGTAGCCTGTCATTCCCTGGCAAGCCCCAAAAATAACCCAAGAACAAACTACGTGTTATTTCTCTACCCTGCTGGGAGAGAAGCAAGACAGAGTTTTTGGTTTGCATATAACACTAACCAAACCACAGATGGTAGGTCTGTGGCTTGTTCAGCTGCTTCCACTGCAAGTACACATTTTTTAAAGTTTCAGGAGTATTGTGACTTAGGGAAGAAGTCAATCATATATTAATATTGGCTTGGCTTTTTTAAAAAAGGGTGCAGGAGGAGCATGCGTATTTGTGTTCTTCTGTGAGCAACTGTGGAAGCTTAGTGGAAGACATCTGCCAGTGCAATGTCTTAAATACACTGGGGGTTGTACTGCAGTATGAGAAACATCACGAATAAGAAAAATACAGGCTGCAGGAGCAAATGAACTCTTCTAGGCTACAAGGACTCCTATAATTCAAGAATGCAGAAATGCTGACAGATCTGGGGCTCCTTTTCACACTCAATGATCTTCCAGTATGTTACAAACTGCTCATTTTAAAGGCTACATCAGACCCAAACCATTCCCCCACTTTTTTACTTGCAAGGAACAAAACTAACGTAATTCAGCAGCAAGTTAAGAGGGAAAACAGTCAATTAAATTTCAAGTCGAGCAGTGAGGAGCAAACGCTTCCTCCTAAAAGTGAGATTCGGTCAGAGTGAAGGGGTGCCCATCCCGGAGCAGCGGCTAGATGCAAATAACAAAGAAACTCGGAAAAGCAGTGCCTCCCTAGGCAGATTGTGAACCCCAAGGTCAGAAGCATTGCTCCAGCTCAGAGCAAGAAATTCACATGCAGCACTCTCCCCCTCCGTGCAGAAGTTATGGGAAGGAGGCCCACACCGACTGCTTCCCCAGGTCAGAAAAGCCACCTCAGAGATGGAAAAATGGGAGGTCTGGGAAGTGGGGCATGGAGGAGGCAGGGGCTGCCTCCCTGCACACCTGACGTGCTGCAGCCAGACAGCCAATACCTGCAGCGTGGGAGCTGCGGAGGGCCATAACTGCTTCCTCCACTTGGCACAGGATGCCTGGACTCCCAAAGTGTGGAGGTTTCCAGGCATCCTGACTGGATTGTGGTGAAGAGACCTCCAAATCTCTCTCTGCCATTCAGAGGTGCTAATCCTGGTCAACAGGGAGAGAGGCACACCCGTGGACTAGGGCGCAGACTAATCCGATTACATGAAAGTATTTCAGACTGGCCTGAATAATCTCCCCATTAACAGAACAGAATAGAAGGTGACAATATTAGGAAATCAGACATTACAAGTGATTCACTATGAAACCTGAGTATGGAAGAATGAAATATCCAGTTCTGACATGACAACATTTTATGGGAAGGGAGGGACTTGGAATTTAGGAATGAACTAACATACTTAAAAAACCTCTGCTCAGATAAATGCTAGCTAGATACATGAACAACTGCTTGCTGTTTCTTAAACAGGACACCTTTCTTCTGAAATGAGCAGCCCTTTTTCAGAAGCAAAATATGTTCTCTTTATACATTATTCCCCAAACAGGATATACAGTAGTCCTCAGAAATTTGAGGGGGTTACGTTCCTAAAGCACCCATGAATTGTGAAAAATCGTGAATTTGGTGCTGGCGATGGGCGCCGGCCGCCAAGGCAGCGCAGGCAGGAGGCGCGAGCCGGGCCGGGCCATGGGTGTGTGTGTGTGCCAAGGCAGGGGCAAGGATTACCATGCACAGAGATCGTTTTCTCCAAGCGAGTCCAAACTGGGAGGAAACAATCTCCTTGCGAGTAAGCCGCAAACGCTGAACCACGATTTCACGGGGGTATACTCTACTGACATTCCAGTTTTAGCTAAACAGCTGGAAATCCTGAAGTAGCCAAAAGATGCTACACTATAAGAACAAAGGAACACAGGTGGCATTACTAGTCAAATCCAATTAAGACTGCCATGATATTCACTTGGTGAAGTATTTTATACATACCTGAATTAGGATAGAGACAAACATCATTAATATCATGTTCAGGCTCCACTGACGTAAAGATTTTCCCCTGAAATAGAAGGATATGCAATGGAACATAGCTCTTGTAAGGAAAATGCACACAGGGCAACATGGGTAGCTAATATAATCTCATCCACAGAAGAACAAACACAACATAGAAACTTCTGTATTATACACCAGGATTCTCCAAATGCCCTCCCACCCATGCTATATACTTTGCTTTGCTGCTACTACTATTTTAATATAATTACTGGGTGGGGGGGATGAACATGCATGCAATTAAAAGCAACAAGTAAGTGGCTCTGTGGCCACAGCAATGCCACTGCCACATCCCAGAGAGCTAGGTGTGGCCTGAATCCACTGATGTTAAAGGCCACCACCATAGTTTTTAGGCATTTAACCTGAATGTGAATTTTCTCCAATAATCAGCAATCCTGTTGATGTAAACATGGAAGACTACCAGTGGCTCAGGACTGGCCCAAGACATTTTAATGCCTAAGGCAAAGATGGTGTCCCTTCCCATTCCGTGTACAAAAGCTGGCCAAACTGGCCATTTACTCTTTCTTCCATGCCAACAATGAAAGAGCATCATCCACCACACCTGAAGGCTACCTGAGGGGGCACAGCAGCTCCTTCTTGCTGCTGTTTCTAGCAACTGCTGCTTCGGTTAGAGTCCAAAATGTCTTAGGGCACTAGGATGCCTACCCCAAGATTGAACAAATGCATTTTTGCCCAAGGAAACTTGTGCAAACCTATGGTTCAGCTAGTAGTCTCTCCCAAACCAATGTACTGCTGGACTACAATTCCACCATCCACAGACTGGAAGGGAAATGTTTGGCGTTTATGGGAGCTCAACATTCAACATCATCTGGGGACCTCTGGGCTTGCAAAAGCTGAGCTGGGGAGCAATTCTCTGTCAGAAAACTAACTGCTAGTGCTACTGCCTGATTAAAGAAATCCTAGCCAATCACAGGAATTTCAGTACACCAATCAATGATTTTTTCCAATACCATGACCAAAAAATGAATAGTTCTTTTTGTTTTAGCTGATTCCAACATGTTACACCAAGCATCTCCTTTTCTGCCACACAAAATGGAGTGCTCCCTCTAGCACAGTACTTGCCATTTTTATAAATACTTGCATTATTCTTTTTAATTTACTGCTTGATCAAAACAAAACTTGTTATCTTAATCCATTTAACAGCTTGCCTTTCAACCTGTACAACAGATTCTGAAAGTGCCATACATCAAATTAAAAACGACACAAAAAAATTTAAGGGCAACATTCAAGAAACCTTCTATAAAGCATTATCAAAGCAACTATAAATAGCTTGTGTGTCTCCATTTTAGTCAGGATTTATGAAAACAACTGTCACCTAAGGTTTGGGTAATTTGTCTACTAAAATTCAATACTTGTGGAAACAGTCAGCGCACTTTTAAGTTTTACTTCCTGCATAGTTCATTATGATGAAGACTGAACTGCAGAGCAGAAGCTACTCCACCCAGTTTGAACTTTTTAGATGTAAGGCCTTTGCGAGAGCTATCTGGAGAAAAAGAAGTGGAACAGGAGGAAACCTGAGGGCAGAAGAGACAAGATGAAAATGGTGTCTATACATGCATGTATACATAGTGCTGAGGAAGCTGGGAAAAAATGGAGCAGAACAGAACTGGTGGGCCTTTCTTTTATATTAGCAGCAATTTCTAGCCTACTGAATAACTTGGTTGAGTATTTGTTACTGTGGTCTGCAAATGATATCCTTGCTAAAAAGGAAGGTCAAAGTATAATATTGTTCAACTTGTACAAGGAAGGACAAAGTATAATACTGTTCAACTTGTACATTCAACAATGTTCTCATCTGTGAGGGTCAGACATTCGTAAAAATGTTCTGAAGCAAGACTTCATATTGTTGTAATATAAAATGCATAGCAGAAACATAAAACCAAAAGAGAACGTTGTGTTTCATCATAAGGCATGAGGCAGTCTGTATTAAAGAATTTTATGTCCCACTGATTTCAGTGGGAGAATTAAGCATATCAAACTTCTTCTGAACAAAGCAGAGAGACTGAAGTGTGAGAGACTGAAGCATTAGGTGGGCCATATGTGGCCTTATTTGCTATCTAGCCCTTCCCCCAAATACTACATAAAGTGGTCCTTTCCTTCTGAGAAGTGGCCCATGACCTTTCCAGTTTAGAAGATAAACACTGCACATGAGGACATGCATTCCTTTAGCTTGACATGCTATATTTATTAGGCAGATGTCTGTAGTCTTTTTCTTTTCCTCAAGTCAGGAGAGGCCAAACAAATTGCTTCTTGCAACTTGCCAAAGTAGCCAGTTGGGCTGCATATGCAAGTTCTTTGCAGCCTCATATAATAAAAGAACACCAAGATGGGCTGAGCATAGAAGATGCTTCCACCAAATGCTTCATTCAGACGTAAAATGAGACATTTTATACTTTTTATGACCTGTAGTATACTGTACTTTAAGAGATCCAATAAAAACCTTCCAGTTGCAACTAATTCCGAATGGAGAACTGGAAGCAAATTGTTATGATTTCACAAGGACACAGTTATGTAGAAAAGGCTGAGTCAGTTCACAGAGGATCCCTTCCTTCCTCTCCTTTTCCATGTAGCTTTCCTCTTTCTTCTTTGTTTAATGCTAGCCATAGCTGACATCCTAGTAGGCAAATCATGGTCAGCACTTGTTCTCCAAATCAGAACCTGCTGTTGCTTTTAGAGACATTACCCAGTAGCATCAAATCGACATCAACTGCTTATCGAATCAGAGATTTCCCTTTATATTCTTTAAGACCACCCTAAGAAAGCCAAACATTGCTTTGGATTATTTAGCACTGACTGAGATAGGTACTGTATTGCCCAACAAAATCAAATATGGCAAAGTGAAACAGGCTATGATTTAGGCTGTAATCCTATACTTAAGAGTAAGCTCCTCTTAAACCAATGGGATTTATTTCTGTGTTGACATAGAATCATAGAATAGTAGAGTTGGAGGGGGCCATGAAGGCTACTGGGTCCAACCCCCTGCTGTTGCAGGTCACAAATTTACATGATTCCACTCAGATGGCTGTCCAGTTTCTTTTTGAATGTCCCTAGTGTGGGAGAAGGGACTGCAGGTGGCGCAGTGGTTTAAACTGCTGTGCTGATTGATCGAACGGTCGCCGGTTCGAATCTGCACAACAGGATGAGTTCCTGTTGCTCCATCCCAGCTCCTGCCAACCTTGCAGTTCGAAAGCACGCAAATGCAAGTAGATAAAAAGGTACCACTGCGGTGGGCAGGTAACAGCATTCCGTGCACTTCGGTGTTTAGTCATGCCGGCCACGTGACCACGGAGACTGTCTGCTGACAAACGCTGGCTCCCTCGGCCAGGAAACGGAGATGAGCACCGCCCCCTAGAGTCAGGCATGACTGGATTTAATGTCAAGGGGAAACCTTTACCTTTTAGTGTGGGAGAGCCCACGACCTCTCTAGGCAGCTGGTTCCTCTATCATATTGCTGTGACAGTGAGGAAGCTTTTCCTGATGTGTAGCCTGAATCTACATTGTCACAATTTGAGCTGATTATTCTATGTCATACACTCTGGCATCAGCAAGAAGAGATCTTCACCTTCCTCTTTGTGACAGCCTTTGAGGTACTTATAGAGGGATATCATGACCCCGCCCCCAAAGTCTTCTCTTCTCAAGGCTGAACATGCCCAGTTCTCTCAGTCTCTCCTCATAAGGCATTTTTTCCAAACCCCGGATCATTTTTGTTGTCTTCCTCTGGACCCTTTCTTTTTTGCATCTTTCTTCCATCTTGGTGCCCAGAACCTCTTGTCTATGACACCACCAGCCTTGTGAAGCACAAGCAGGTAGGGGAAAACACTCAGAGATGAACTTCCTAAAATGTACTCAGCTTGTCCTGTTGAAACGTAACCCATAATGGAGCCATGATACAATCCCTGTGTGGTGTGCTGGTGTCATGCAAGGTGCCTGCAATGGTCCCTCTGCTCCAACACAAGCACACATATACAGCTTCTAAATTGCACCTATCAAAATATGTCTCTCAATTGCCTCTTCTTCTGAACAGTTCTTTCCTGCTTTAAGAAGTACATAGCCTCAACTGAACTTGTCCTGATTTATTTAGTATATTTATATCCCACTTTTTTTCTTTTAAAGAACTCAAAGCAGCTTGCGACTTTCTCCTCCTGCTGTACTCAATCTTGCCCCCATAGCAACAACCCTATGAGGTACGCTGGGCTGAAAGTCTGTGACTGACGCAAAGTCACCTAAATGGCTCCATGCCGAGCGGGAACTAGAACCCAGATCCCAAGTCCCAGACCCACATGCTGAACCACTATACCACACAGGTTCTCTAACATGGTACAGATGTCACCAGGACAACCTCCATTGCAAAGAGAGTTCTGCCAGCTGAAATAGGTGGGTAGCAAGTGCAGGGATTCAAGGCAGGTAGTATCCAGATCATGGACTTGATCAGGGGTGTTGCCAGCTGCTTGGTGTAGTCTCTCTCCCCTTCTAGATCTCTGTCCCAAGAGTGCTTTCCTGCATGTATGCAAAAAGTGAAAGCAATCTTGTGCCTTCCAGACATGTTTAGCCCACAATACCCAGAATTTCCAGTCAATGGCCCTGCTGGATGGGAATTCTGGGAGCTGAAGTCCACATGCCTTTGAAGACCACTAGGTTGGGGAAGGCTGTGGTAAACCATGCATGTGACACATTTGTGGCAAGCCTGGGAAGCAGCCAGAGGACCATGTACTTGTCTCCAGCACAGAAACAAGCCCGTGGTCTGGCTCACTAGAGCAGAGGGAAAACCACACCAAGATCTAGAGACGGAAAGGCACACAGGCAGCCTACATCTACAGCCTGGTCACTGCTGCAAAATGAAGAAATCTAAGCCAGTTTCACAATGTATCCAGAATGAATCAGCTAATTAAGCAGATAAAAGGATGTGAGCAGCTGGATACTGTGACCACATGCCTCATTCCCAAAGAGAAAAATGAGGCACTGTTTCCCTTTGGATGACTCCCTTTTCATTTACTTTTCTAACAGCTTCACCTCCCTTCTGGGTACTTCCTCCTTTTCCTCATTTCATGTTGCTGCCCCACCTGCCTCTGCTGCCTCCTGCAGATAATTAGCAGACAGGAGGGTTTTCCCCCACCTTAACGCTTTGAAAACAGAACTGGATGCTCCCCACCCCACAGGCAAAATCTGGAGTACTAATGCTGCTCTCTGCCTCAATGCCTTCCTCTTTTTTCCATTGATTTCCAGCCAGAGATAGTTAGGAATCATCATCAGAGAGGGGAAGGCCAATGAGAACACAAAACTTTCAAAGGCAAAGAAAAAAATGGATCTGCCTTGCAGCAAGAAATCTCTTCATCTGCCTCTCCATAAGTCACTTTGAACTTCTACTACAGGTGCAATTTCTAAATCAACTGGAAAACAACCACAGTCACCCCGTCATTGCCTTCAAAATTGTGCAATAGCCAAAATCCAGGCCACAGCTCAATGGTGGGAGCATCATGTTTGCATGCTGAAGGTCCCAGGTTCTATCTCTGGCATATATAGGCAGGACTGGCAAACTCATGCAGAGAAGGTTGGTGAGCTGCTCCCAGTCAGTGCAGGCAATACTAGACTAGATGGATCAATGCTTGGACCTATAGAAGCCAACTTCCATGTTTCAGAGGTAAGTAGACTCTCAGTCTTGGGCACAAGCACATTCAGCTACTTGCTGGATTGTGTCACTTGGAATGCACATTTAACTGTGCTTCAAAGAACATGCAAAGTTGGGCAAAATGGATAACAGGGAAATAGTTGAAAAGCAGTACTCAATAACCAGTACTAAATCTGGACAGAGCTAGCCATTCCAGAAAAAGTTTGAGAAGAACATTTTCTTACATTTAAAGCATTGGAAAATAGTGGATAAAGCAGTGGAAAATTGGCCATACAGATGACCCTGACAACATAGTACAAATATTCTGGAAAGCTGGAGGACACAGGACCCAGCCACTGAGTAGAACTATGAAGAATTCCATCACCCTAAACACTGCAGAAAGAGCCAGTGTGAAGCAGTGCTGTTATGAATGTGTCATTAATCACATTAACTTTGAAGCCAAAACCACTGTTTTTCATACACAGGAGTAAGATGTGTGAAAGGAGATGCTCATTTGTCCTTTTGCATCATGTTTGTGACACTTTATAGACTAACTTGAGAAAAAAGAAGCTTACAATCAGCAAGAAGCTTACAATCGAAATGTCAGCTGTTGAAGGAGACATCCAAGTGAAAGAAGGGAAGGAAATGAGACCAGGGAAGCAAACATGAGTGCAGAGGTTTTTTTCTTTTTTAAAGGAAAAAGCAAACAGCAAAACAATTAGAAAATGGCAAAGTTTTAACTATCAATAGGACATGGAAGAGAGGGCATATTCCTTCCTTCAGCTGCTGACACCCAGCCATAATTCTTTGAATGTGGCACATTTCCACAAGGAAATGCCACTGTGAGCTACGGTGGGAAGCCATGTAATCTGGTACCTCGCAGGGGGCAAAGACACAGAGAGGAGGAGGAGGAAGAGGAGGAGGCGACCACATGTGATCACAGAGCTGTGACCTGCAGACTAACTTTCTTGCTGCCTTCACAAGCCTTGACTGATGACATGCAAAATAGCTTGGTTAAGCAAGTGACCATGTTAGGACTGAAATGGTATCAAACGAGGGCTTTCTACCTTCAGCTCTAACATAATTAAATGCATCCAAATTCTTGAAGAGTTTCTTAACTTCTTTTAAAAAAGAAAGGAAGAAAAGCATCTATGCACTTTCACCCATGATTTACTAAAGAAGAAAAGCAGGCTGGCACACAGAACAACAATACTAATCAAACTATACTTGCTCAGAACAAAACACAAGACACAAGCCAGAGTATACCTGATTATGCAGTATTACTGAATTTTAGGCTGTCTTTACATGCAAACCCTGCACTGTACTTTTAACTATTGGCCGTCAACCACAAACAACCCGGGAAGAGAACCCATTGTTGTTAAGTTGTGAACTCCAGATTGTTCATGGTTGACAGCCAATAGTTAAAACATAGTATAAAGTTCACATGTAATGATAACCCAATTCAGCAACAAGCCACAGTTCCATAAGAACCCATAGTCAACGTGTACTCTGAGTTGTCATTACACATTAACCAGAATGTAATAGTAAATCTGTCAGGTATATTAAAAGTAATGAAACTTATGCTGTTCAACAAAAAGACAAAAGCAAAGGAAGGCTTACCGTGTCTTTGTTCCATAATTTCATGATGCGTGAATCAGCAGAAATAATTAAATCTAATGAACTGTGGAACTGGACTGATTTAATAGGCAGGCCATATTGGTGATCCTTCACTATTAATGGGTTATTTGATCGGAGATCATATAACAAGACCTGGTAACAAGAGAAAGTAACTAAATATTTTGTTCAGCTTTCATTGAGATTTAATATACTTGCAAAGCTAAATCACTTTAGATTCCTAGTAGACTGAAAATGTACAAGTAAAAATAACATATACAGTATTTTAAATTTGATTTTATGCATGGATTGTGTGAAAGTCAGTGGTGCAGGTGCTTTTAAACAACACAAAGCACTAAGCAGTGCATAACTTTCCTTTGGACATTTTCCTTTAATACAAGCAAGCACAAAAGCTGCTGAATTTGCAGTCCTGACAAATCCTCAACCTATCATGTATTTTATGTTTGCTTATTTAATTACTTTCAACCCTCTCAAGGCAACATACAGATTAAAAAGAGCAGTACAAAAAGGTGCAGAAAGGCCAGCAAAAAGGTGGGTCTTCAGAGGTTTCCTGAAGATGTGCAAGAGAAGGTGCCCAACAAACTCCCAATGGAAGCCAACTCCAGAGGTGCGAGGCCACCACTAAGAAAGCCCTCTCTTTTGCATTCAAATGCTGAATTAGCCCCTAGTTTGTGTGTCTAGGCTGGGCTGATTCAACATACAGCCTGTGGACCATATGCAGCCCCTAAAGCCTTGTACTGTGGCCCTCTTGATGCTTGGAGTCCCTGTCCCCCAAGTCCGGATCCCAGTGATGGCCTGAGCATGACTGTAGAATGCTCTCTTGAGGCCGCTCCCCTGAGGCTCAGGAAGAGAGCAGGTCAGGCTAGTGGTCTGGCTAGAGCTGGCCCCAGCATGCCCTGCACCACTCCAGCTGACGAGCGCAAAGGTGCACATGGGTTCATCAACAGGAATGGACAGGGCATGCTGGGGAGTTTGTCAGCTCAGGTATAAAAGGCTCAGAGTGCCAATTCCAAGGAAGGAAGGAAGGAAGGAAGGAAGGAAGGAAGGAAGGAAGGAAGGAAGGAAGGACGGGCGGGCTGGGGGGCACATTGGAGGGTTTCTGGGCAGGAAAAACAGGGAAGAAAGGGATGGGCCACCCCAGAAGAGCAGGATGCAGCCCCCGGGTTCTGTGTTGCAGTCCTCATGCTGCCCTTGAATATGGAAAGTTGGACTGCCCTGGTATAAGAGTTTCAAGATCAGACATTTGTTTGTATCAGATTGCAATCTGCTATACCAGATCAACTAGCCATGAATCTGGCAGGCCAGCCTTGTACCATTTACTACATGCCATTGTTCACCCTTTAAAAACATAGGAAACAAAGCAGTAAGACTCCATGTGCCTAACACGCTCCTAGATGATGTCCCAATCAGTTCTCTTTATGAAACTGCAACAAGAGGGAATAATCACCAGCTAAAGCAGTTATGCAGTGCATCAACACCCACCCAAAGAGAAAGAGAGCATTATAGAGTGAATAGTGTGTATTATGCTCTGACATGGTGTCACCTTTGCAAAACAGAAGCGGGAGATTGGAAGCTTCTGCATCATGCTAGGGCAGTGATGGCGAACCTTTTAGAGACTGAGTGCCCAAACTGCAACCCAAAACCCACTTATTTATCGCAAAGTGCCAACACTGCAATAAAACCTGAATGCTGAGGTTTTAGTTTAGAAAAAACTCAAAGCCAGTCCATGCAAATCTCTCTCTGTCTCTCTCTCTCTCTCCCCCCTTGGCAGCGCACTGACCGGCCAAGCGAAAGCTCAGACGAGTGGCAGCTAATGAGTCACGGGTCGTGACATCATTGCCGGGTGCCGCTACTCCTTTCCGAGCATGCGCATGGCTCCTGTGTGCACTGTTATCCAATGCTCGGCTGCTGGGGCGATGCTGGGGTGACTTGGCTCGCGTGCCGGCAGAGAGAGTTCTACATGCCCACTGTGGCACACGTGCCATAGGTTTGCCACCACTGTGCTAGGGCAACCCACCCGTACAAGCACCCATGCTTTGTCACGCACCAGCAGGAGAGAGCAGGCATGCTGCCTGCAACACATCCACTTCTTCCATTTTTACTGCACAACCAATGATCAGCTGTGGACTGTGACAAGCAAACCTGGACCCTTAAAGAAAAAAACAGCCTATACATTAAAGCATGGATAGTTATTGTGTTCACTTCTGGTCTGTATAGCCTTTCAACAACCCAGCAGTGCCAAGCTCCATAACCCGCGCAGGACCTGTTGCTTCATGCAAACCAGGTCAGTGTCAGCTAATGTGCTAACCTGCAGATCTGGTTCAAAATCAATTCATCACAATCCAAAAATTCATGGTCCACATTTTATATGTGAGTTTCTTACTTCAGGGTTAAACGATTTACTTAATGTGACCCTGGCTGCTATGCAAGGCAAGAACATTACTCAAGGTACACAGAAAATGACCCAACAGCATAGTCACCTGCCCTGTGGATGTTCCAACAGCCATATGCAAAGGTCCATCAAACTTCAGGGCTGAAACAGAAGGCAGCCGATCTACCCTGAAAGAAGCGACATATATTTCATTTCAGTTAGATATGTTTAAACACAGTTCATTTCAATGCTTATTAATCTTCAGCTATAATCTGCAGCTGAAGGAAAATGATTTAAAGTAATTTATGAAAAATGTTACACTTGGGAAGTTTATAAAAGTTAATAAAAAGTTAGAATGAAATAGCTATCTTCCATACTCATGATCAGCCGTCACACAGCTTAAGGCACAATTCAACATCCCAACTCGATTTCTTGTTCTAGGATCCCAGCATTCCACCTTCCCCTAAGGAAAAGAAATAAAGTATCACCAAGGATTCTCAAATTATTCAGCACATTTGGGCCATTGAGTGATTTGCTTTTCCCTTGTCTGCTGGCCTAATGCTCAAAGGGATGTTCCAACTCCCTTTGTATTCCAATACTATCAATCTTCTTCTGCACTTAAAAGGTTATTTGATCCAGATACTTGCACTGAGCAGTTCCTAACAACAAGAAGCAGGAGTTCACCACCTATTTCAGTAGGCAGAGCCCTTCTCACTACAGTGGGCAAATCAATTCAGTCCCATACCAAAGCTGACAGTACTTACAACCAAATTCTATTTAGACCAGGGGTTTCAAACTGATTTCAGCCAGGGGGCAGAAATCCATTGTGGAGAAAATCTCAGGGGACTCATTCCAATGGGGGAACGTGGTGAAGGCCAGAATTCCAATAGCACCCCCATATTTTTTGCTTAGAGCTAACTTTCAGAGAAGCATTTTGACATTTTCGTGTGTGGGGCGGGGGTGTGTGCAAAAGCTGCAAAACAACCAGACAATCAGTGCTCAGAAGAACAGGGTGCGACCATCCGAGGAGCCCCAGAAGCCTTGGCTGGGATCCCCACATGGTCCAATGGGGCACCCAGGCCTGCGGTTCAACACTCCTGATCTAAACTAAGATCAGAAAACCAGCAGTAAGGGACAAAACATGGTCCCCAGCGCAGACCCAATTCCCCGACATATGCCTTCTTTCTGCATCTTTGCCACATTCTTCTGCAGAAGCAAAGAGATAGAGAAAAGGTTATTTCATACCCTCTTCCCTGGTGTGAATAAGTGCACTAAGAGAGGAATCGCTGGCCCCAGGGAAAAGAGGTTAAACACTTAAAAGTTATCAACCAGGGAACTCGTCTGGCAGCAAGCTGCAGTCCTGCCCTGTAACTGAGGCTATAATTGGACCACACATTGTGGCTGCAGTCCCTTCCCCCAAGGCAGGTCTGCGAGGACAGAAGCAATGCCAGTGGTGTATCACAGCTGCATCGCAACTTGGCAGGAAGCCATCTTCTTCTTTGTCTTCACCATCCAAACAAGTGCCCCACTCCAGCACTCATGGCACTCTAACAGAACTTCAGTTTGCAAATATCAACATGCTTTTTTCACCTCTCACAAGCTGTTTTGGTTTTTCCTTAGTGACGTGCCCACCAACGGATTACCCAACCAAGCATACTTTGTCCCGACAAAATAATTAAGGAGCTATAGGCTTGCAAACATTTTGCAGAATTACTTTTCCTGAACTTAAATTACACCTCTACAAATATTCTCTCAGAAGCAATTATCCTTCTGAGAAGATTGCTCTGAACTCAGTGTAAATTTAAGGAAAATGTATTTTGCTGTTTTGTTTATACAGAGCAAAAGTATATCCCCTGCTCCCCTCCCCCCCCCACACACACAGGGACTTGAAAAAAAAAGTTGCAGAATTAAGAGCTCAGTACTTGTTGAGATATTTGGATTTTCGCCCTTATTTTTTTATGTGTTTATTTATTATATTTATATCCCACCAACAGTTTTTACCTCAAGCGTCCCAGTAGCAAATAAACCATGAGCAGAGTTTATGTCACATACATGATTCTCCCTAGAAAATAGAACAAATGTAATGACTGAAAAGGGAGTGACATATTAAAATAACCAGGCTTGCATAACTGGTGAAAAACAATTAAAGAAACTCCAAAAGACATAGCCAGGACGAGTGAATGTAATTTGACATATGTTTCTTGATGATTATTGTTTGATCAAGCTAACAAAAGACTCTGACTTCAGCCAGGATAGGCACAAGCAGTGCACACCCAGCTTTGCTTCTTCCCTGACACAGTAAGTCTGGATTCAGTACTTAACTATAATTCCTATTTCAGATGTGATGGCAAGCTGTATTTAAGGTCTACATCCTGGACTACTCCACCACTCATGCAAAGAGAGAAGAGCAAGGGGGCAAGAAAGGGGCACATGCCTCTCCTGCATATCCTGTCTTAGCAGTTCAGGATTTTTGGCTTAGCATGACGTACACATGCTGCCAATGAGCAAACACATTAGATTTGTTGTCAAAATAAACTTTAAAACAGAAATCAGACCAACCACATCAATTTATAAGTGCAGTTTTTAGTGAATTTGTGTAGCTTACAATTTAGATCTTAGGACAATAAAAACCTCAGTAATTTGGCTCCACCTGCTGGAAGAAGAGGGCATGCTTGTAATCAGCTGTGCATACTTACAAAGCATCTGTCTGTAAGGAATTCAGGAACCTTCCTTGCTCCAAATTGAGCCTGTATATTTCAGAGCTACAACAAGAGCAACAACAATATGGTCAATGCTGGGTCATTTCACTGTTGGTTACTGAACTACTGAAGTTAAGTATAAAAGCTGCATGATGTCTGAACGAAGAATAGCAGTGCATTGTTCCAATACTATCTGGAAAATGTTGGATGTGTTTTCCAGAGCCAGTTCTCCTGTCACACAAGGAGATGGTGAAGAGGATGTGTGCTCTAAAAGGGGATAGGAAGAGCCTTGTATTCAAGGTACTGTCAGATTTTTTTTAAGGGGAACCCTAAGGTCCACCAACACAGTTGCTCAAATGGATGGACACAGAGGGACAATTAAGGAGTCACATGTCTCTGTGCACATGCCGAGCCAAGGAATTTGTGATCAGCCCCAGAACAAAGCTCACAAGTCTTCTGACACACAAATCCTGATTTTTCTTTTAGCATTCTTTTTCAGCAAGCTAACATGGGTAAGGGGGAGAATCTTTTCATTGTTGTTACCATGGGCAAGAGGTAGCCAGCACCCTTGCATTCTGTTGTTCCTGACCTGAACATTTCCAGGATCCTCTGCAACTTGGAAAGGGATACTTGAAAATATAAGGCAGGCCTTCTAGATGCTTTAAACTAATGCTACAATCACCTCTCACCATTGGCCATGCTGGTTAGAGGAGCTGCGGTTTAGAATCCAAAATAATGGGAGGGCACCATGCTGGAGAAGGTTGGCGTGAAGTATGAGAAAGGCAAAGTCCCTTGCTTTCTCCAGCAGGTCAACAAAAGCCCCAACTCCTCTGTTAAGGTTGCATGGATATGTTTGCATTGTGACTCAAAGCTGAGTGTACAATGAATGCTATCTTTTCCTTCCTTTATTTTCCCAGAAATTTCCTAGTGAAGATTTTATATACTTTAAAATGGCTTTTATCAATACTGAAATGAATTTTAAACCTCAATAAATCACAACAAAACTAGAATGTCCCACATCTGTTTCAGAAACCACACTGAATTTTTAAAAAGCGTCCCAGTGAAATGGCTTCACATCCTTGGATTTTTCTACAGCATAAGCTGTACCTATTTATTCACAGAGCATTTAAAATATAGTATGAACGTTCAGGAAGTAGCAAATTAAAGACCACAATTAAATGAGGATTCAGTGCCTAAAATACCTTGCTCCTACAAAGTACAGGTCACATGATGGATAATGGTATGAGAAATCTCTACCAAACTTTGGTATTCTTGTCCTGTAGTAACGGCCATGTTGTGAATGAAATTCAACATATCTATCACATTGCAAGAAAACAATCTGAAAAATATAAGGTACAGAATTGCAATTTGGAAAGCAATAATTATCTCCCTTAAGTAATCTCTAGATGAGGTACCATTATTTGCAGAGGCATACTGAAATAGATTTAACAGTTTAAATGAATGTATTGGTAGATTTCTCATTCAGGAAAAAGTTAGCTGCTATGTGAAGTATTTATTTATTAAAAGCTTTTCCATCCTGTCCCTTACAAATGTCTCAGGACGGCTTGCAATATGTTGCACTAATGATAAAAGACACTTCAGGAGAGACTTGGCATATGTCAGCAAGGTTGTTTTAACTTAGTTACCAATTTTTAAAAGGTGATTTACTAAGTACAGGCATTTTGGTTGTACTCTAGGAGAAGGTAAAGAAGTGATCTGATGATCCCCCACTTCATCCAACCTTTCTTGCACTGTGGGAAGGAGGCAGGTGGGTGAAGACAGAGCTTATACAGGGTAGGGGACTAGGCTGGCTTGGCTGTGTGCGGGCTCTCCTAACCAGAAGAGCCCATGCGCACAGAAATCGGGTCCCTGGCTCACGCACTGGGCAGAAGAGCAACAAGGGAGCCAATGATGCCAGGCAGCTGGGGCCATGCCTACCAGACATCACACGGCCCATGCAGGCTGGTTGGTGCAGTTAACTCCTGCCAGGTTAAACCAACTTCTCATAGTTACAAAATCCCATTTCCTGGATGACAACTCTACCATTACCTTGATTGAAGCAATCATCCAGATATCCACCCACAACTGGCTCTGTGTCCTGGTCTAGATATTGCAAAACAACAATACTAAATTTCAAATTGGATACAGCTTTAATCTGTGATGCTAAGAATTTGTCCAAGATTGATTGAGCACAACCTTCTTCAAATTGGAGCTTTGGATGTGCTAGCTTGGAGCCTAGCACATCTTCAGGGCACCAAGTTGATATTAGCAATGTAATATTTAGATTCCCCCAAAGTTATAAAAGCATGCAATCTACTGGTTTTGTGGTTTTAATTGACTTGAGTTTATGCTATGTTTTAATTAAGGTTTTGTTTTTAACACAGATTTTAACAATCGCCACCTTGTGCACCAAATTTTTGGCAGAAACACAAGATAGAAATAAAATACATTAAAAAAAGGTAGCTTGGACCTTGAAGCCATGAGCTTGGGGAGGTTCAGATCCCAGCTCAGGAACAAATGCATTGTGCAGACAAATGATCCTCTCCCAACTTTCACTCCTGCACTGTGGTGGAGAATGTTTGTTTAAAGACACAGACCAGTATCTCAAGAAAGAAGCAAGACATAAACATGGCAGTAAACACCAGTTTTCTTGCCAGTTCCTTTCTTAAAAGGGGAAAGGGAAATTATACACACTAAAGCAAAGAGATGCTTTTCACAATTCTAAAATGCAACACTTGCTATTATTCTGGAATTTAATTTAAAAATTAAAAGGAGACATACCTTTGAGTAATCATCTGATAAAATATCAAATGTAACCACTGAGGAGTTGAAAAGCAGACAAGGAACAAGTGTCACTAAAGCAGTCTCTTTTACACACAACACATGCATCTCACCCACTTCAGGTTTAATTCTGTGAGCCTCCCACAGGGTCCCGCATCGCTCTTACAGCCAAAGACAGGAAGGGTGCTGTGACAGGCAAGCCCGTGAGCACATCCCTGTGTTTATCCTGCTGTGACAGCGGCCACCCTTGTGTTGCTCTCGATCAGTGCTACTGTCATGTCTGGAGAGGAGTGGCCACTCAAGGTGACAGGGGTCCATCCTCAGCCTCTACCTCTTGCCACAGGAAGAAATCAACCGAAAGTCTCCTGCCACCACTGCCTTTGGGCCCATGTGATGTCTCGTCAAGTGACCCTCACAGCTCTCAGATGTCTTTCTGTCTTAGTAACATGGGTCAGGAAGGAAGCAAGGATATGAGCACAACCTAAAATGTGCCCGTATGTCCCTGGCTGCTGGCTCCTGCTTGCAACAGCCTGGAGCCTCCAGTATCACTCACTCAGCCAGCTCCACTGGCTGCTTGGCCAGCTTAACTTCCTGACCACAGGCAAGTGTTACCTGTCCCAGGCAAACAACTACCTACAAGTCTATGTGCTGGTATACTAAGCTGCCATGGACTGATCTGTATCAATGCTTTACGGGAACATCATTCAAGACATGATGATACTCTCAAATACATGCCTATGCTTAGCGTTTGCATATAATTGTGAAAAGTTTACAGTTCATGTGCACACTACTGGTTTACAAACATCACAGGCACCATCCAAAGAATTTCACTGGGAGTGCTATGCATAAGCATGTTGGCTATCAAGGCCCTCCCTACTCCCACCACCAACTAAAATCAGGAATGCTTCAAAAGCAGCACATATTAAAACATTAGGTGCTGCTGGGTTTCTAAAAATGGCTATTTTCCATGTTAGTGTACTTTCTAAAGAAGAGCACACCTCATTAGCTGAAAAACTGATCTGGGTGGAAAGCACAACAGTGTCATAGAGACCAACATGGGTTCAGGCAGTGGGCTGCAATCTTGTACACACTTACTGGGGAGTTAACCCCACAGAACAAACTAAGAGTTACTTTTGGGTACTTCACTAATACATAGTTCATCGTAGTTACCATTCCACTTAACTTTACTAACCTTCAGCATCTAAGCATCTTTCAAATTTCATAGAGAGCTGATATGTATCAAAACATCGAATTCTTGGTTTATATGTGCCTGTTTAAAAAAAAAAGAAATAAATTAGCTTTAATATTTGTCAATCCATTTAGCTTAGCAGGAAATAAGCTCAAATAAGCTCAATGTTTTAATAGTTCCTGATCTAGAAATCTAGAGTTCCTGACCTAGAAATCATCTATAAATGTTCAAAAAAAGTTTACAAACCCGTATCCCTGTGAGTTGAACATTTTAGATTAGCATTCATTAAAATGCTTCATAGCTATTTATTTATTATATTTATAGCCCACCATTTTTCCTTTCAAGGAACTCAAGGCAACAACATACATAATTCTCCTCCTCTCCAACATCTTCACAACAACCCTGTGAGGTAGGTTGGGCTGAGAGTCTGTGACTGGCCCAGTTGCCTCCTTGGCCAAGCAGGAACTATAACCCAGACTGCCTGAGTCCCAGTTCTGCACTCTTAACTGCTACACCACAAAGTCCCTACCAAGTGAGCTTACCCAATTTCCACTTCGCTAATGTATAACGAAACGCAAGATTCATGTAAATGGACAAAGCAGCACAGGAACAGCAGTCTAATACTACCACTTGCCAAAGTCCTACTTGATACTAATTCCTTAATTCTAAATGAGTTCAGAAGATTGTACAGTTAAAAAGCCCCCTTATATCACTTCAAGAACACGGAAACTCAACTAAACTAATCTGCTCATTGGGGCAAAACAAAACGAGGACAACAGTCGTACAACCAACTGACTGTGAAAGAGCACACAGCTACCCTATTAAACCACAAGCTGTAAACATGCAAACAAAAGCCTTATGTACATTTTTTCAGACTGTACGTATATGTATCATACACAGAATAAAACTCAAATATACACAGCCTGAAGGCTGATAAACAACACTACCCCTTGCCCCCCCCCCCACATCAAACACTGCAGTGTAATATTGGAATGAAAGGCACTAAGTTCTAATTTCTGAATGGGTTAAGTACGTATTTTTAAAGCAATAACAGGCTGAAATCCGATCCCAAACAAGGCAAGAAACAAACACCCCAAGGCAAATCACTACATGCATATTCTGATCTGGATGGAAAACTGTACACAAATGGCTGCTTCAGGTATGATTCCATAGCCTGGCCTTCCCCAACATGATGTCTCCAGATGTTTGGGACTAATTAAGAGAGGAGGAGCTTTATTTAGCGTCCCCCATTCCAATTCTCTCAAAACAGGGAATCAGTCTGACTGCAGCTTAGCTGTGAGGGCCAAACACACACACACATCAGAATAAGCCCTGGAAGAGTATGTTCTCTTTAAGATGCATTTTCCAGTTAAGAAGGAAGACACAGTCCTGGAGGGAGATCTGGAATCCCATACAGTCAGAAGCTTACAGGCATCCAAGTCAGAGGAGGAGGAGCAGGCAGGTTTCCTCCCAGCTCTGCATTTCAGCTAGGTGGCCATTTTCAATCATCTACTGGTGACATTTTAGGGAAAGAAAGCAGGAAGCTGGCCCAGCTTCAGGATACTTTGCGTCCTGGCCATGCATTTCACTCTACTGCCCTTCCAAGGCAGGACTGACTCTTTTCCCCACTCACCAAGGTTACTTTCTTGACCTGGCACAGCAGCCACTGCTGATCTTTCCATACTGACTGTTAGGGAGTGGGTGAGGAGCAGAAGACCTCTGATTCCGAATTCTAAGCACCATTTCCAGGCTCAGAGCTTGGAAACCCAATGATCTTATACCAAATCTTAATGACATTATAGGTGAAAGTTCAGCACTAAGGAAACCACATGATTGACACCACCGAAAAAGCACTGTCAGGGAAATCAAGTCCATACACATTGCTTGAAACTTACATCAATTAAGATTTCGGACACTATATCTGCAGCTCCAAAAATGAATCAAATTTTCACTTTGATGCTGTAAAGCAAACTGAAACATACACTGCTACAGACTGATGAATTAATAAAATTTGCAGTTGCAGTATCCTCAAATATGTACATGTCTGTCATCCTATTCTTTGCTAGCATGTTAATTTACTCTCCAGGAGATACTGCATGCCAGTCTGGTGTAATTTTCACAGCACATTCTTCCCCAACCATGATATCTCTGGTGCAAGACTTACTAGCACTTTACAATTCAGAGCAGACACATTTACAAACCGATCATTAAAACGGGTGGAAATCTGAAAAAGATACTCACCAGCTGCCATCACGTACTGCCCATCTCGTGACACCTTGATCTTGGTGCTAACAGCAGGCATGTCAAAATCTTGGAGAAGTTCAATTCTCCTATGAATATCTTTAAGAAAAATAAGGACAATTTGCCACAATAAGAAGAGTCTTAAAGAGAGAAAGTATTGATACAAATGTCACTTAAAAATTCTTTTAATAGCAAGCTTTCCAATCTTAGGATGAGAGCCATATTGCAAATCCCAGGTACTGCATGTGGAAATTGTTTCTGCTTGTACATGGTGGTGCTGGGGACAGCCAAATTCCCTTAGATGAAAGTCCTGCATGCCTTATAGGCTGTCACTCAGGAAATTCCTGCAACCTCAGAAAGGGACTTTTTAGAGACAGGCGTTTAAAGGTGGGGGTTTTAAAACTGGCCAGTTTGACTTCCTATATTCAGTTATCACATTCAAGCATGAGCTTGCCTCCTCCATCTTCCCACAACTAACTTGTCTCTCAGGTTGCCATCCTGTCTGGGATTATCAGCTGGCTATCAAAGACAGAGTGTATTCACATAGCAGACCCCTCTCTCTGATATGGCTAGAGAGCATCCTGTTTTGGCTAAAGGCCTCCTGGATATACAAAACTCCTACCCTCCCATTTACTAATGCAATCAAGATTACATCTTACCTTTTATTAACTGAGAGCCCTGTTATGCTAGTTTACCCATTAAATGTCTATTATTCCAAAAGCAAATGATCCTCTTCTTTTATTCAGGCATTATCTTGTGCCTGTTTGCAGTCTCACCTCCCACAATCTGACCTGACACAGTCTTGCTGTGGGTCTCTGAATGCCATTTTTCATTTCCACTTGGGATTTATCTTGACATTGTAATCCCCACTCCTCTTTCCTCCAATGTGCTCCAACAAATCATAAAAGGAAAGACAGCCTCTCTCTTCCCTTCTTTCTCCTTTGTCAGCTTCATAGCTTCCCGTGCTCCCAGTCCTTAAAAGCCGAAAACATCACTAAGCAGATGCTGTTGGTTTGCTGCCACTTCCTCTTCCCCTTCCCTTTCCCTCTGGACATCTGCTCAGCACTTTATTTTACAATGTCCGTTTATTCTACTTTATCAATAAAACCCCCTTTGCTAGAAAGGGGGGACCCCTTTTGTCTGTTATTCCCTCTAGGCTTTTTTACAAGGGCACTTGACCTCCCAGGCAAAAGTTCCTAACATTTGTCACACTGTGCTCCAGTGTATTCCATAAAACTCCCATCAGGGGCAGTATGGCCTGTCCTCTAGCAAAACAAAGTTAGAGCCATGGGTGGAAGGTTTCACCATAGCACTTGACGGTGACCACAAATGCTCATGCCAAAATAAATGAATTAGTCTTTAAGATTTTGCATGATCTTTTGCTAATCAAATGGTTTATAAAACCCATAAATAAAAAAACAAGTAAGCCTTAAATAAGATGCTTTCTTAAAAACACCTGGAGAGCTTTGGCTCTGGAGCAATACAGAAATGAAATCTTTCATCACAACTATTATTCCCTAAACACAGAGAAGGAGGCTTCAGTTTGTGTATAGAAATATGGGTCCAACCAAGCAATGTAACTGATCATTTAAAAGTATAGAAACAAAGAAAGCATTGTAGCAAAAAAAAAAAAAAAAAAAAAAACATCCTATAGTTGACTATAAGCCATGGTCTACAGGCTATAATCAACAGAATTTTGGCTTTCATGTTTTTAACGCTGCACAACCAGACTACTTTTTGATAGTAGAAATGACACTTGATTCTGAAGCTGTCAGGGTCTTTCCACTGTTCAATGTAACTCACCAACATCTTTCTTTTGTAGTGCTCTCTTCTTCCTATCAGAAAGCCACTGTAACACAACAAAAATAAATGTGAGGGTTACCATTCAATGGGAAAAAACAGTGAACAGCTGTGAACTAGTGGTGCTGTAAATAACAGATCTCAATCAGGGAAAGTTCATTCTTTAAACATCTCCAACTGTAGTGCAATCCAAGAGAAGACATCTCATTCTGGGCATTCAGTCCTGTAACTGATCATTTCTATGTACTGAACAATGAGCCAGCCAGGTACACATCCACTTTTCAAACTAATAGGTTGCTAAGAACTCAATGAATATGCAACCAACTGACTTGACACTGATGGACAAGAGACTTGGACAGAACTCATCACCAACACTGTGGGAGATTTTCCACAAAGTTAAGCATAGGCTAACTGTATCAGACTAGACAGGTCGCAAAACGGAACTTCTGGAATCAATATCCAGCAAACCGGGTACCAGAAAAACGCTTCTCTGCAAGAGAACGTATTCCCCCACCCTTTATACAAAGAAAGATGGGCAAAGAATTGGTGCTGAAGTACAGGAGGCGAACAGCAAGGAAGATGTAATTCATTTCTAATACATCTCCTCCATTAGCTTATTCAATCATGAATACAGCCACAGACCCAGCACGGATGGCGCCTTCCACCATGGTTGTGCACCAGGTCACACCGCCTGCCTACCTTGTAGGTCAGGGGCTTAATGTTCACGAATACATACACGGGAATAAACCCTATCAAATTCTGTGAAACTTAACTCTAATTAAACATATTTCTTAATCAATATGAATGTGTATAAAAGCCGCATCATGCTCTCGCCAACACGGTGCCCTCCGGTCAAGGTGCAGTCAAGGCTCCACGGCACGCTAGTCACAGGCGGTGGCTGCTATTCCGCGTTTAGCGCCACGAGAGGCGAGCGCGTGCACCGCTGCCGGCCGTCGGCGAGCCGGAGCGCCCGGCTTCCCCGGGCCGCGAAAGGGGCGGGGAAAGGACGTTCCGGGGCGCGCGCCGCGGGGGGTGGGCGCTGGCGGGGCTGGCGCTGTCTCACCTCGGGCAGGCTCCGGCCGGCGCTTAGACTGTAGATCTTCACCTCGTTGAGGCTGGAAACCTGCATGGTCCTTTCCCCACTTTACAAAGCGAGCGATTCTCCTCCGGGGTCAAAGGGGAAGCACTTCCGGCCATAGAGTTGAATATCACTGCGGAACGGTAGTGATTTTCTAGGGGCGGTTTGTGTATAGAAATAGGGGTCCCATTCAAGCCGTGTAGCTGATCATTTAAAAGTTTCAGTACGACGCATTCGGTATAAACTTTGACTAGATGTGTTTGCCACATAAACGGGGAGAGACTTCTTTCTACCTCTAGGATTTTGTTAAAGATTTTCACCGCTGTCGCGGGCGGGGAAGAGGATCATAGAGATAAGGGAGGAGTGCAGCCGCACGCTGTGCCCATTTTCGGGCAGTCCCCTTCTTTCCCTCCAAGATCACCGCAGACGGCAGCCAAGAAATTAAAAGACGCTTGCTCCTGGGGAGGAAAGCTATGGCAAATCTAGACAGCATACTAAAAGGCAGAAACATCACCCTGCCAACAAAAGTGCGTATAGTTGCAATGTATGGCTGTGAAAGTTGGACCATAAGGAAGGCTGAATGCCGAAGAATTGATGCCTTTGAATTGTAGTGCTGGAAGAGACTCCTGTGAGTCCCTTGGACTGCAAGGCGATCAAACCGGTCAGTCCTAGACGAGATCAACCCTGACTGCTCTTTAGAAGGCCAGACACTGAAGATGAAGCTCAAATACTTTAGCCACCTAATGAGAAGGAAGGACTCACTGGAGAAGAGCCTGATGCTGGGAACAACAGATGGCAAAAGAAGAAGGGGACGGCAGAGGATGAGGTGGCTGGATGGTGTCACTGGGGCAGTTGGTGTGAGCTTGAGTGGACTCCGGGAGATGGTGGAGGACAGGAAGGCCTGGAGGAATGTTGTCCGTGGGGTCGTGATGGTTGGACACAACTTCATGACTAACAACAACAGCAACCACCTTCTTTCCCTCTTCTGTAGTGGCGCTTTTAGAAGTGATAGTCATGAAGCAACTATGATATATTCAAAGCACCTCTGAGAGTGTAATGCTGACTCTTTTCTTTTTCTATTGGCTCGGTGGAAAAAGAAATGTCCCAGGGAAAAATGATAATCTGATACCTCATACCCAGGAGCAGAGAGCTGAATGGACACCGTGATGGATGGAACCAGGCGACCCAGCCAAGCTATTCTGAACAGATGTGGAATGAAACTCTATGATAGTTTCCCCCCCGTCATTTATTTATTTATTACAATTAATATAATAACAATAATTGTAACTATTGTAACTAAACATTACTGATTTACCCAATTAATATATTAATATCAATGCTACCTCGAACAGGACCATCTTCATTTATTTATTTATCTAAAGTTTTTATATGCCATCCAATACTAGAGTCTCTGGGCAGCTTACAAAAAACAAAAACACAACAACAACATGCCAACAAACAACACACTGCATTTAACCATCAATGATAAAGATAAAATCAATTAAATGTTAAAATACTGGGAAAATACAAAGTACACTAATTACTTAGTTAAGATCATTTATTCATTCAGGTTGCCCCACTTCCCATCCAGAACTGCATTGATTCTTGTGGTTCACACCCCTTTCCTTTTATTAAAATACATTCAATAAAAGATCTCCAAATATTTTCAAACTTATTTTCATTTGTCAAACCTTTTTTCCATTTAATATTGCAAGTTAACTTATCATGAGTAGCTATATTCCAGATTTCTTTATATTAGTCAACTATATGACATTTTGTTTTCCAATTCCTTACTAAACTTACTGCTGTTAATAAATTTAACCTCAATTCTTTAGCATTTTCTCCCATCTGTTCTCTAAATAATGGCAATAATGCTAATCCAGGATCAACCTCAATATTTAAATTCAATATTTTACCTATTTCTTTAAAGATCCTTTCCCAAAACTCATTTATATATTTACACTTCCACCACATATGGAAATATGTACCCAATTCTTGGTTGCATCTGCAACACACATTGAAATATTCATCATCCATGTAATTCAATTTAACTGGAGTTAAGTACCTTTTCCAAACCAGTTTATAAAAATTCTCTTTAATTCTTATTGACATACATTTTAACATTCTCTTATTCCACATATTACTCCATTCTTCAGCTCTAATTTCTTTTTAAATCTATTTCCCAAGACTCTTTAAGAGGATCATAGCAATCCTCCTCTTCTAGTAATATATTTTAAATTTTACTTGTCATTCCTTTCATCCACATATTGTCTTGTTTTTCTTTTTGTAAAATTATATCTTCAAATTTAGTATATTCTCTGCATTTACCAATTTTCTTAGTCCAATAATCTATTTGAAGTATATTGCACCAATTTATTTTACCCTGTCCCAGTGTAGCTTGTATCATTTCTTTACTCTTCACTTTCTCTAACCAATCTTTCAACCTAATTACATGTTTACTCTTCAGTATTTCCTTCAAATTACTACTCAGATTTACTGGGAATCGTTCTAATTCCTTAATTTTATACCCAATTACCTATGATAGGTTTTGATGGGTCTAGGATTCAAACTGCTATTCATCTCTACTCAGATGTTAGTAAGTACCATTGCATTTAATAGGCTTTACTTCAAGGCAAGTGGGCATAGGATTTCAGACTAAAAGTAGCCCAGTGTTGCTTTCACTGACAGCTGGGGTAGGCAATGTGGTTCACTCCAGAAGATTTGGCTTACAATTCCATCAGCCCCAGTCAGCTGATGCCAATGTCAGCATGATGCTGATGTCAGCATGGCCAATTGTCAGGGACTGTGGGAATTGTAGTGTAAAGCTTCTAGAGGGCATCATTTTGCTTACCCTGACTTAAGATGTACACTTAAAAAGAATCAAGCAACTCTCTTGCACTCTTTTTTCCTGAAAATTGCACCCAAGTTTTCCCATCTATTTAAAGTTTGTATACACCGTTCCTTAGCAGACACTCTCAGAACAGTGTACATTTAAAACAGCATAAGACATGGAACCATAAGCATATCCATGATAATAAAAAATAAAATAAATAAACAACAAGTAATCAGGCAAGTAATAATACACAACATAGTAACAACTGATTCACAGCAAGCCAATCATTGTATGAATAAAGACCAGTATAAAATCACAACCTTATATTCAGCAATTAAAATAATGGGAAAATTAAAAGTGTTTAACCTTGCACCAAAATGTATAAAGGGTCGGTGCCAGGCACATCTCCCACAGGAACTGGTTCCAAGTTGGGGTCAAACCATTAAGGCCAAAACCTGCACCTCACTGCTTATTAAGCATGGTTGTACATTCTCACTTGTCAAGTTTCTGAAGACACCTCCTGCCCTGAATTAGAAAAATTTTTAAAGCTACTGTATTGATTGTTGAATACCACCAAGACTCCACCTAAAGGCTGTAGAAGTTTCTAGAAGTTAAATCAATGTGGAAATGGTTCTCTAGTGGTAGGAATTGTGAAATTTGGTGGTATCAAACACAATTGTGCCTCTCTTATATTAGTTATTCTCTCCCTGGAACCAAAAATATAATCTGTTATCCCTACTATTATCAAGGAAGGAGCTGCAAGCTACACAGGGGTCTGAGTCGTGCAGTGAGAAGGCAGCATCCAAACTTTTGTTCAGTGCCACACACATAAGATAATCTTCTTAGCCCACTTTAAGAAATCCAGAGTGACTAACAGTCCCTGATTTACAAGCACTTGGGATCTCATTAATTCAGACTTAGGCTACTATGCAGTACCCATTTACTTGAGGCTAAGTCTCATTGCACTTAATGGAACTTCTTCATAGCTATATACAGAATTGCACTCTCATTTGCATTAGGATTACAGTTCTAGTTGACAAAACTGTAGTCTAGTGCAAGCCTGTTGAAATTCCTGGTACTTCTGAGTATATTTCTTAGTAGGCATATAATCAAGGTGTTTATACTAAGCCAGCATGATTTGTATTTATTTATTATGTACATGACCACCTCTCAAGATAGCCCACATTTAAACATTTTGTTTAAGACATTTAAACAGTCTACAACAGCATCATGCCCTGTGTCTGATAACACAGACTCCTAATGTCTCTGCTTTATAGCTAGTCCCCCTTTTATTGCCAGAGAGGAGCTGGATAAAATTTAGGCTAGACTCTTGTACACACTTACCTGGGAATAAGACCCTTTGAGCGCTTTATTTCTGAATGAACACGTTAAAGAGTGCACTGGTAAGAGTGTATCCCATGTTAACACAACTCAACTACCATTAATTTCAATAGATCTATTCTAGGTAGAACAAACACTGCCTACAACCACATGTTGTAGATTATATGAGTGGAGTCAGTTGAAGCTGGGGGGTCAGACTAGATGGCCTGGAGGTCCCTTCTGACTTGGGTTTTTTTCCCGTTTCTATGTTTCTACAATCCTTCATTTCCTCTCAGAGATGAAAAGCACACTTCTAAAGTGAGGTTACACAAAATCCCACTTCATTCAGTAAAATCTTCTCCTAGCCATCCATGACTAGGATGGCTACCTTCAGGCACTGCAGCTAATCTCACCTGTATAGATGTATAGTATTTACAGTCTGCGTATTGAGCCACCCCATCCATTCTTGAGCTATGGCAAATCTAGACAGCATACTAAAAAGCAGAGGCATCACCCTGCCAACAAAAGTGCGTATAGTCAAGGCTATGGTTTTCCCAGTTGCAATGTATGGCTGTGAAAGCTGGACCATAAGGAAGGCTGAGCACCAAAGAACTGAGGCCTTTGAATTGAGGTGCTGGAGAAGATTCCTGCAAGTGCCTTGGTTTGCAAGATCAAACCAGTCAGTCTTAGAGGAGATCCACCCTGACTGCTCTTTAGGCCAGATGCTGAAGATGAAGCTCAAATACTTTGGCCACCTAATGAGAAGGAAGGACTCACTGGAGAAGAGCCTAATGCTGGGAACAATTGACGGCAAAAGGAGAAGGGGACAGCAGAGGATGAGGTGAATAGATGGAGTCACGGCGTGAGCTTAGGTGGACTCCAGGGGATGTGGGAGGACAGGAAGGCCTGGAGGAATGTTGTCCATGGGGTTGCGATGGGTCTGACGCGATTTCACGACTAGCAACAACAATCTATTCTTGCCTCCTTGAGTAAGGTCGAGATCAGCCTAGTCTGTGTGTGTCTGGCCACATTTTAAAAACTGATTCTAGGGTGCGGTTGGCCCGCAGCACATCCACTGCAAGTACCGCCAAATTCCTACCCTGAGTCCCCTAAGTAACGGATAGGAACCCCTAAGGGGCGGCTGCGAGAAGGGCAGGAGGAGGAGCTTCGGCTCGTACCGCCTGGAGGCAGACGAGGCTCCTCAAAACGTCGCGCAGTCGGCGAGGGCGCCGCCGGCAGCGCGGCGAGGGAGTGCAACGGAGCGCCCCGCAGCCCCACTAGGAGTCCTGCGGGGCGTCCAGGCTTGTCGCTCCGCTCGCGTCGGGGAATGAGCGGGCCGGCCGTTGGCAGGTAGGAGCGCGTCGGAGCGCGAACTTTCTTCTCCGACAGAGGGTTTGCTCGCAGCCGCGGGGCGCGGGGTGCTGCCGGTCTCCCGTCCAGGCGCGGGGGGACCGCGCATCGCCAGCTCCACTTCGGAGAAGTTCGCACCAGCCCCGAAGGCGGCGGCGGCGAACGAGGGGAGGGTCTCGAAGTTCGCTTAAGCGTAGGCTGCTTAATAGGCATCGAATGCGCCGGTCATCGGGCGTTTGGCTTTGCGCACGGACTGGCGGTTGTCTTTGCTCGGCTGCTGAAAACAGGGCAGCGTGATGGGCGAGCGTTCTCCCTCCAGCCTTTTCCTGTTCGGAGGGCCACCATGCGAAACGCAATAAATGTAAGATAGCACAGTAAAAAGGGAACAATCCAGTTTTGGTTTGGTTTCTTGGCGGGTGTGCTTGTAGGATATGTGTCCGGGGGGGGGGGGGGGGTTCTGCAAGGTTTTGGGGTTCTCACAGAACTAAAAGTGAAAGGTAAAAGTGAAAGGTAATGCCCATTTAATATTTTCAACTCTGGTATCCAAAATGTACCCAGATTTAAAGCACAAAATGTACAGTGCTGGAGAGGGTGAATGGCACACCGTTTGGATAGAAGGCATGGGATGTAAATCCCGCACTCTTAGAAAAGTTAAATTACAAATGATGGGATAAATCGACACCATGGTATTTTAAGAATAGTTCTTACAGTAACTTTTTATCCCAATTACAAAGTTAGCAAAATAATTTCATCTTCATTTTTACGTAAGGGGTTCATAACTTTGACATGCATGCCCAGGACTCAAGCTCACTTATGGAAGAACTGTACTAGCTACTGAGAAGTTCCACTGAGCTTGGTGGGACTTACACCCAGGTTGGAGGTGTGGGATTGCAGCCTCATTTGTACATAAGAATAGTGGCTAGCTAGGTGACCCTGATAAATAATCACATGGGGCCGGAAACCTTGTGGAAAGTGGGGACTGTCCCCTTCCTGCTCTTCCTAAGTGGCACCTCAATAGTTTGTGTGTGTTTAACTTGTCTGATTTCTCTAAAATAGGAGTAATTTTTGTAATAAAGCACCGGCATGTCTACATTGCAACAAATTGTATGCCTGGCATTTATCTGCACCTTTTTTATTCTTAACTATCTTGGGAAGGCCTGCTGGAAAGGTGGGATAGAAATACTTATAAGTATTTATACTTATACTTATAATGTAATCCTAATATCATGTTTGATTGCATACTAGCCCTAGGGGTATTCACATGCCCATTTTGCAGTTTGGGAAGCTGAAGCTGCTTTGTCCATGGCAAAGACCACATTTTATCCCAGATCTGCTTAGTCTCTAGGTTTAGTCCTACACCCACAGAGCCATACTGTACCTCATACGGAGCTGCTGGCCAGCTGCTGGAGTGCAGCACAGGGACAGTATTGATTTTTTCCATCTTTGAGGATGTGTGCTGATAGTTTCAAGTAGACAATCGTATGCATGTCTACTCAGAAGACATTTCCATTAAGCAGAATGAGATTTACTCTCAAGTAAGTGTATGTAGGATTGCTTGTCCAGTTATCCCCTCCCCCACCCCCCATCATTGCCAGTCTGTCCATCTCATCTAGCACAAAGGGAACACACTAGACTGGACAACAAATACATTATCCTTTAGGGTTACAATCCTATGTACTCTTAGGATGTATACTGAGAAAAGAGGTCATGGAATTGAGTGCAACTTACTTCTGAGTAGACTTGCATTGAATTTATTGCCAAGTAAATTAAAAGAGAGGAAATAATGAGCAAATGTGATTGAAGTTAATTCTTTATATTAGAAACAACCTTTTGGAGTCCAAAACACACTCAGACAATATAAGTTATGAATAATGCATGTGCATATATTTAAGCCTTTTGCTGGCAAAAAGCTTTAAATGACCCAGAAAGGACTAAATACAGCAATATATGCAGAAGTCTTGAATGACCCAGAAAGGACTAAATACAAAAATATATACAGAAGCCTTAAATGACCTAGAAAGGGTTACACAAGTGCATCATTCATAAATGATACGCTTAATGTACATTTAAGACCCAGGAATTGGTTACCTAGTACAAAGAGTGATGTGAGATATTATCTTGAGAAACCGGTGCTTTGTCCTAAATTCATTCAGGCAATAAGCATGGCCAAATAATCTGCAGTAACACTGAGCCGCAAAGTTCCTAATTCAGTTGAGGATACAAGTGTGGAAGACTGCATCTGTGTGCACAGGAACACCCTCACCCAGCTTGGGACAAAATCAGAGATACAGTTTTTATTGTATTCTTAGTAAAGTTATTGACATTATTTATATTTATATCCAACTTTTTCATTGCCAGGAACCCAAGGCTGCTTACCTAATCTTCCTCTTTCCCATTTTATCCTCCTAACAACCCTGTGAGGTAGGCTAAGCACAGAGTGACTGGCCCAAATTCACCCAGTGGGGACCTGAATTAGACCTCCTGAGTCCCAGTCAAATGTTCTAACCACTACACCATATCGATTCTCTGGTAGCCACTGTAGAGGACCCAGATTGGAATAAAAGGTTTTGAAATAAATAATGTTTCATTTTTTCTTCTCTAGGATGTGTGTTTGTAGTACATTATCTGCCAAATGACCTTTTCTTCCCATTTTTAGCTTTCACCTTTCCCTATTTTGTTACTTGAGAGTAATAGAAATAATAGACTACAAGCTATACAGTAGAAGTTTCCCTTTTCCTAGGAGTGAATCCTTTTTCCCTTTTATTTCTGCACCACATGATCTTTTAAGTGTTAAAGGAAGCTGTGACCTCTGGCTTAAGAAAAATCTAAAACCTTCTCTGACGTTTGGTGCTGTTTTTGAGGATTGCTTCCCCCCATTCTCTTAAAAGTAGCTTGTTTTAAATAGTTGTATTCTAATCTGTTCGCCTACTCTTGGAAACTTTCGTAATGGTTTTTATTACTTTCACCAATGATGTCGATTGCTCCAGGCATCGGTGGCCTTGTGACTGCGAACTCCTCCCCATGGACTAGATGAAACAACCCAGTACAGGAAAAAAGGAACAACTGCCTTATGGTGACATTCAGAGGAAGGTCACATTTTATTCAACATTTGGCTTGCGAGGTAAGTTAATTCTCCCCCTGACGTATGAATCTTCTTACTGCTTTTGAAAAAGTTAATCTGTAACAGAGAGGATTGCTTTACACCTGATCTATTACTGCGCTACCCCCTTTCTTTTTGTTTTGGTTGCAGTGATTCAGAGTGAGGGGGATCGTTTACACCATGTCGGAATTCTGGTTGATTTCAGCACCTGGGGACAAGGCAAATCTGCTGGCCTGGGACAGGATGAACACTGTGACTTCCAAGGCCAACCTGTCCAGCAACAGCAAGTTCATCATCCCTGACCTCAAGGTAAAGATGGGACTAGAAGGAGGGGAAAGAAATTAGAAAGCAACAACACACAGGGGGGTAGACCCCCCCCTCAGCATTCTTCATGGCGGGGGGGGGGGCGGTCTAATGTGACTGTTGAGAGGGTCAAATTATGATTTGTCTGAGAAAGAAGTTTTGTTTTCTTTCTGTCTGAGGTGTTTTCACATCAGGGATGAAAGTAGGAACAATTCTGTATGACTAATTAATGAATTAATTAGCAGCAGATGAAACTGGATATTTAAGCTTTTTCATTGAACCTGTCTTCTGTGAGAAGTCATGAAGACCTATCTGTGGGTAAATTAAATAGCCTATGGGGAAAAAAACTGGCCTCTGAAAGCTCCCAGTTAACCAGTATACATCCCTATCTTATGTATGCTTACATTACTGATTTCACTCGACAAGTCAGTGTATTTAGAATTCTAGCCTGGACACTTGCAAGGGAGAAAATCCCATGGAAGGCGGTGAGATTGACTGCTAAGCAAATGTACACAGGCTTGGACTGTAAAAAAGGATGGGCATGGCTACGCAGGAGTATATCCCATTGGATTCAGTGAGCTTCCTCCCAGAAAAGCCTTACCCAACTTGACTCCCTCCAGCTATGTTGACTCCAACTCCCATCATTCTCAGTCTGATGTGAACCTCTGAGTGTCTTGCACATCTCTTCACTCTGTTAGAAAAGGAAGTTTGCATAATAGGTGGAAAGTTCCAAGTTTATGGTAGTTAAAATGTTTTGTCATTTGATCTCATTAATGAACATCACTTTGCTGTATAAATCATCTTATGTGGGTTTTTTTGTCAGTTCTCTAACTTCTTTCATATATATTTACATTGGTGTCCATCTCCTGTGAGCTTAGGCGACACAGTGCATCAGCATGTGATAGCATAAGCATGTGACTATGACAGGAGAGCTGGTTCATAAAGCCAACTTCTCTGATTGCAAGAGACATCTGTGGTGTCATCCAGGATAGAAATAGCCATTTTTAATATTTTTACATTACTGATTTCTTCCCACATCATGTTTAGATGGGTTTTTTTAGTGTGGGAGAATGGAGAGTTTAATTTAATTCATCCTAAAGATAAAAGTTTTAGGCTGTGGTCCTATACATACTTACGGAGAGTAAGCAAGTCAATGGGACTTGCCCCTAAATAGGCACATACAAGATTGTGCTATTAGTTTTCTGCCCACCAGAGTGGGTAGTAAAACTCACTCTGACTTCAGTAGCCCAAGACTTTCTTACAGTAGTTCCTTCATGAGTGACAAAGCACAATCTTTTTTAGGAATCTTTTTTTCCCTATTGAGGAACAAAAACGATTGGGAAGCAGTTCACAATGGTCTATCACCATGACACAAAACGCACAATCTTTCCTTCCATAGAGCAGACTCTCTAAAAGGTATTTTAAAAAGGTTCCCTTAAATCTTTGATGACTGTCCACCCTAATTTGAATAACCTAGAAGTTCTTACTTGCTGGCTGCTCTTTTGGAAAAGAAAGGTGAAATATATTTTGCAGCTGATTTGTTTATGCTTACTGTATTCGCGTTCCTTTGTGCAGGTGGGGACACTGGATGCTCTTGTTGGCCTCTCTGATGAGTTGGGGAAACTTGATAGCTTTGCTGAAAGGTAAAACAGATCTTATTTACTACACACAAACAGCCAAGGCATGTTATTTTTATAGGACACAGTGTTCCTGTGTGAACCACACTCTGACTTGCTTGAGCCTAGCCCTAGAATTCAGGCAGGAAGTGGGAAGGATTGGCTGTATTCTGAATAAGGAATAGTCTATATTCTCTATATTACATATTTTATATGTCTATATATATAATAAAAGGTATTTATATTTTTCTGTGCAAAAAGGGTTATCCTAAAGGCCTAGATCCTGCTTTTCCTACTCAAATCAATGAGAATATTGGCAGGCTCATGAATCAATGTAGATGGTTACATTCATACTGGGAATAAGCAGGAAAATCCTTGTGAAACGTGGTCCCGTTCCTTCTGTATTTTCTGTTCTATGCCGTAGCACTAAACTGAGAAGCCTCTATCTAGACTGACCTAAGAAAAGGAAATAGCATTTTAAGAAGCAGTGCAAGCATTCCAAATGGCTACAAGAATTCCTAGGATAAATGTCTCGGTTCTGCCCTCTCCTATTTTATTTAAAAGGATGCCCATTGGCAGCGTTACCTTCCAAAAAGCTCTGCATTCTCAGGTCCTACATATCTGAAGGGCCTCCTCCTCTTGTCTTTTCCGCCATGGCCTTAGAAATGATCCCACTGCCCACCTAGAACCATGGCATTGTGGGTTGGTGCCTACCACATTGACAAGAATCACACTGTCAGGTGCAGCCGAGTCATGTTAGTTCAGTCTAGCATAGCACAGAATTGTGGGAGAGGGAGATGGCGTGAGAGTGGTTTATCTATTCCCGATGCAAAGGCTATCAGAGATTGGCAGCCCTCAGTCAAACCTAGCTGTTTGTGAAGTTCTGCCTGGCCCTTTCCCTGCTTCTGGCTGAAAGGTGAGAATGGAGAAAGCAACCATGCAAGGCCGTGTCTCCCTCTTTCAAGTGAGTGTCCTTGCCACCCTTCTCCTCCTGTTTCCCCCATCTAATGGAAAGTATCAGGATGGGAGGCAACAGCATTGCGTGCTTCTTTTGGCTTGTGCGATATCCAGAAAAAACTGTTGCACTCAGGCCCATCACTAGTGTGGCCGCTTGTGAATTGCCAAAAAGAATAGTAAATAGGGTGTCCATCTGCATAAAATTTACATATGTTGGTTTATATGCATGCAATTTTAGAAAGAATTGTGATTTAAATAAAAATGCAGTACCTCTCAGCATAGCAGGAAACGGTTGCATCAAGGTCAGGCTTGCTCCATCTACTGCTTGGGTGCTGTTGAAGGGCAAACAAGGCCAGCTCGACCTTCTGATCATTCTTTAAACCAGACTTGAAGTGGGTGTATATCAATGTATTTATACACATCGCATGTATCGGCAGGGATCACATGTCACCACAACCCTGCATGATTTGCATGGTGCATGGATTGTGCCTGGATGATCAAGTGGTTTCTATGCTAGTGTGGTTCCCACGCTCCTGCTCACTCTTCCTGCTGTTGCCATGTATCCCATCAGCCACCACACCTGAAATTCAGTCCTGTGCCGGAAGCCGGAGCAGTTCCTACAGCAGCTCCCATTCTATCCAGGGGACTTTATGCTACCTGCATTCTGTGGAAACTGCAATGCTGAATTTCGCCCATCAGAGAAACCATGGCAAAGCATGAAAACCACAGATCACTGTTGTTTCTTATGGTGGCTTCTAAGACCCAAATGTACCATGCTGAAATACCATGACAGAAAACTTGACAGACCTTCCTGGTCAAGAAGCGACTGTGGAGGATTGTGTTTTGTGGACCTGCTCCTGGCCCTGGCCCTGAGCCTTGCAAAAACCCACAATTATCTCCATATTGCAGGGCAGGGAGAAAGGGGTGCCGGGTTGGATGCTGAGCCAGCGGTAGCCTGTTGAAGATCATTGGAAACAGTCTTAGGCAGCCTGAACACCTTCATTTATCTTGCCTGGTATTGCTTCCTCTGCTTGGCAGGGGCCATCGGTGGTCTCAGGCAGAGGACATCCCTCCAGCTGCCATATCCTTTTATAACTATGCCTCGCTGAGTTTGGTGAGACCGACTCCTGAGTCGTTCTGCAAAGACTTGCAGGGGAGAAAGCTCTTGTTGCTTATTCCCATCAGGCCGTAACTGCTTATGGCAAGATCTGAGCTTGAAGCTCTCCTCGGGTCCCTGTCTTCTTAGCCACATGCTCCACTGCAGCAGGTCCCACAAGGCAAAGCAGATGCAGCAGGTGAGGCAAACGCTGCTGGTGGAGCAGCAAGTGTGCTACAGAGCTTAAGGTTACAGACACCTAAGCCCACGATTGGGTCAGAAGCAAAGCAGAGGAGATCGGGATTTGCATTTCTGTTTCCCTGAAAGCTGTTGGTGGAGCTGTTTTTAGATCAACACGCAGGAGGAGCACTGGTAAACTTAGCTAGGCAACACAAACCTGTCGGTGCTGCTTCTGGCCAGGCCAGCAGAGACAGGGCGAGTGTTTTCAGGGTCTATTGTTTCCATGTACTTTTATTACTTATTTACACAGGGAGATGGAGTATTTTTCCATGTCATGATCAAGCAGCATGTGGCATTAGATGCTTTCTTGATGCATTCCCGAGTCAGATGGCATGCTTCTTTTCCACATCTATTTTAAAATGGCCCAGGTGAATGATACACTGGAGAGCTGGGCTATAAGATATGTATATATCCCGTCATCTCCAACTAGCACTGTCCACCACCTTGCTGGTTGGGATGGCAGGTGTAGCAGTCCAACCCATATGGGGGACATCGGGTTGAGGAAGGCTGATCCAGACTTTAAAAGAGAGCTAATGGTGCAATCCTGGGCATGTCTAGTGTGCTTAGGAAACCTGTTGGGCTCTTCCGGTTCTGCAGCATCAGCAGCATTTGGCACCCAATCACATGTACATCTGAAGCTGCGGCCTCATCCTGCTTCAGCAGTGCATCAAAATGCATGTATCTCCATTGTTGACCACTTGCGGGCTGCAGTTTAGAAAATGCTCCTACTCAAATCCCAGCTGTGCTTTCCCCAGCACAGTACTGCACCTGCTGGACAGGTAACACCTCATGGAGTTCTCCCTTCTTTATACTCTTTATACTCCTAGGAACAACTCAAAACCTGGACCCGATCGCTAAAAAAAACTTTTGCTTTGGGTATTTTGCTGCAAATTATTTCATCATTTTAATCATTTATTTGAATTGTCTTTACAACAATCTTTATATGAAGTGTAATCAAGAAACTTGCCCAGTATATTGGAGAAGTTTTGGAAGACTCAAAAGATAAAGTACAAGAAAATCTGCTGGCAAATGGAGGTAGGTCCTAGAAAATATCAATATGTTTGAAGTGTTTGGTTTGGTTTGTTCTCATTTTCATTCAGTTAGCAGTTGGGTGGCTTTGGCTTTAGAAAATAATTATTCCAGTTCCAACTTGGCTTCTGTTTCCACTGACATTATTCTCATCACTCTTTGTGGGTGGTGCATGATGAAAATCCTGTAACTGTTTCAAAAATGCTCAAGAGTGACTATTACTCATTGACTTCTCTTAGTTCTTTATCTTTTCCTCATGGTATGGAGAAGTGCACAGTAGCCTCTGTATTATTTACTCACACATTTGTTTGTGAGTAATTCACAAATGTGTATTATTTGTTCACAAATAATATTAAGCCATGGTATGAGCTATTGAATTCTGGGGTGTTATGACATGTGAATGTGCCCATGCTAACAAACTGTGGCTTAACAAAGCATGAACAGACCAGTAAGAGAATCCATGGTTTGTTGCTGGGTTGTGAACTCTGGATTGTTTCAACCATAGGTTGTCAGGGGTGAATCTAGAATAGTGGGCTGTTTGCTCACACAGGCAGTGGGCACAAGCAGTAAAAAGAATCAGCTGTTCTTCTTGGCAGTAATACAGTACTACAAAGACATTTGGGATACAGAGATGGAGCATACAAAGGAAAGGGGAAATAAAGAGCCCAGGGATTAAGAAAACACACCATGGTTTGTTTGACTGTCTGCCAGATAAACCCTTGGTAAGAAAATAAATCATGGATTAAATAAACCCTGGGTTAGTATTATGTGCAAACCAGGCCAATGATTTATTTTCTTTATTCTGCATATTTTATCTTTGACAGTTAGCAACATTTTCAAACAAGGAAGGAGTAAAATCAAACAGTGTGTATTGGGGGAGAGGGTTAAATGATACCCTCACTAGAAGAGTTGGAAGACATACTGCAGGAAATGCCTTGCATCTAATGCAATTCTAGTTCATGTCTGTGTGTGGAAGTTATTGTCAATATATTTTGCTTAACACACCAAAAGGTGCTTTAAAGTTGTGTACCTTTTAAAGTTTAATCATCACACTAACTTTATTTCAGGAGCAAAGAATAAAATGAAATGTCTCAAGAGTATGTTGCATATGGATGACGGTTGTGTTTTTGCAAGCATGTGCTGGTGTGTTTAATAGAGTTGAGTCTCCATCTGGTTGTAGGAGTACAGTGATCAGGTTACGACGGATTTCTCTGTCAACCTCGTAGCATGATCACCATCTCCCTATGACTCAGATAACAGCAGGTTTGCCTCCCCGCTTCCCATGCCTCCTTTCCCCCAGTCTTTTACTTTTTCTTTCTAGCTACTTTGCATGTTTAACAAGAGGATGTAGGAACTCCTGGGTGGTGTGAAAATTCCTTACCGACTTCTGTATTCTTATGATTCATTTGTCTTGTACTTCACCTTACTTTATCCGTGTTTTTAATCTCTCAAAACTATTTATGAGCAATTTTTACTCAATAAACTAGTAAATTTGGGACTTCCAACTGAGAGCAATGTTAGGTATCTACCATTAATTTTGGCATAAGCAGCAGCTATTTTAGTACAGAGGCATGTGTAGAACTGAATGGGACAGGCCTTGTGAGGAATAAAGCCTCAGGTGTGCAATGGAACCACCAACGCAAATTCTGGGGTTGGAGGGAATTGTGAGTATTGGCACGTTACATTTCATATTCAGTAAGGAAGTGCACATTTATTATTGAAGCTTGGGAAGATAATAAAGCCAACAAAAAAAGACCACTGGAGCCTGCAACAAAATGCTGCAGTGTCAAGTGCTACTGGTCAGGTCCTCTGTCCCCGGCATTCTGTGCCCCACTGAATATGCTCTTTGGGATTCTTCTAGGGATCTCCATCCTTTAGGGGTCCCCCTTCACAAGATTAATTGTGCTTTTGCACAGCCTGGGGCTAATTCAAGGATCCTGAATCTCTTGACAATCAGATGCTCTGGGCTGTAAGATACCCCTGAAATATCATTTAGACTTATCCCAAACACTAGTTTGAATGCACATATAAGCAGGAAGAGCTATAGTTTTGACTCCCATGAGGTGAACCCAGTTTTTCTAACTATTGCAATGCTTCTGCTTGCCTTTTGTATTTTTAAAAAAAACCCTTGTGCATTTACCAGTCAGATTCATTCCTCATTGCAAAAATGTTCAGGGGGAGGGATGGGGCTGGCAGTGGGACCTTGCAAATGCCAATGTGTCTGCACAGGGCAGCTTGCTCAACTTGGGAATGTGGATGTGCGGACTTTCAGAGCATGGGCACGATTAGTAAGTTCATAGGGACTCCTGTTTTTCTTGTACGTATTTTTTCTCTCCTAAAGTAAATATATCGGCAGTTGCTTATATCCTTTATGTAAGAGTGGTAAAGAGGGCATCTGTTGGCTCCCTAGCTTTTTACACCCAGCTCTTTCTGTGCACGGTACACTTTCCACATTTGTGAAATATGAGACAGTGGAGGGAGACTTTCTGAGACTTGCCAGTCTCAAGAACTGAATTCAGATACTGAAAGGATCAAGTCTGATGTCATGAGAGAAGATGCTGAAGTGCAGCCTGTGGCTATCAGAGGAAGATAAATTTCTCTCAGCAGAGTCACAGCTAAAAGCAGACTTAAACACTAGACATTCCTTTATTTTTCTTTGCTAAGATCAGCTGGCTTTATACTGTACATGCTAGACATGATGGGATAGCTGGTCTTGATCATACCTCATCCCTCCACCCTGAGGAGGGTTTCACTTAGGGGCTTTTCTGTGTGCACAATATTGAGTCAATGAAGTACACAATGTCACTTGCACCCGTACTAGCATCTGGGAATGTTCTTTAGCCTAGTACTCCGCCTCCACTCAAGTAGGGGGTTGTTCTCAAACCATTTATTTATTTAATTTATATCCCACCTTTCTCCTGTTGTGGATCTCAAGGAGGATCCATGCCGTTCCCAGGTGGTCTCCCCTTCAAGCTCTGGCCAGCCCCCGACCTGCTTAGCTTCAACATGGTAGATGCTTTATGTGCCTTCAGTTCATACCATACTTGGAAGAAATCCATAGCACCCCATGCACAGGACATATGCTTGATGTTTGGCGTTCGTCCTCACCCTGCTGCAGCCCACACACCCCAACCAATGCTATTCCAGGGGTCCACCAACCCTGTGGAGCAGCTTTTGGGTTCTGTGTGTGTGTATGTGTGTGTGGATGAAGGGAATCTGGCTGTATGGGCTGGGAGTTGGAGGCATTTTTCCTGTCTGAACATGCATAGGATTACACCTTTATTTAAACTATTTCTAGGCCACCATTATCATCACCACCATTATCATGGCATTTAGATCCTGCCTTATTTCCTCTCGGGAGGAACCCATTCAAGGCAAATCTCCCAACAACACAGCTTACAAAGTAAAAAATGGGGCATATACAGATACATCAAGTAGACATACCTTGTACATCTAAATAATACAACAAATTCTACTTTGAAAGTCATACATGATGAGACAGCAGCCTTGAGAGGCAAATCTTACAAAATTCCTTTAAAAACACTGCTCTTTTGGAATGCCCTCTGTATATACATGCACAAGTTTGGTTTGAATAGATCCTCTGACCAATTTAAGAATGCTCAGGTGAGCAGAAATTGGAACATTGAAATAATTCTCTTATGAGATTACCTATAATAATAAAAGCATGGTATTCATTGTAAAAGCAAAGGTCAGATGCATGCCATTGTACTGAATTTATCCCTGACTAGAGAACAGTGTTTATTAAAGCTGTTTATCTGTCTAAATATGCTGTTGACTGGATTTCCCCATATCTTTCTAGTTGACCTGATTAGTTACCTGACAAGGTTCGAATGGGACATGGCAAAGTATCCCATAAAACAGCCACTTAAGAACATTTCAGAAGCATTAGCAAAGGTAATATAATTTCACTTTCATGAAAATTCACCTTCACAAAGACCAGTTCTCAGGACTGATAATAATGAAGTGTGATAGAGGCAGTGGGAGTTTTGTGGATTACTTTTGCAGGAAGAACTTTGAGTATTTTGAGTTTCATATTAAAGTCAAAGAAAATAATCCCAGGCCTAAAGAGATGGGTGTTTTTCACAGCAGTGTAATCAGTCTCCTCCCAGTATAGATTTTCTTTGTATCTGAGGGAAACTACCATGTGATAACACAGGCAAATTGTGGGCATCCAGATGTTTTGGCCTGCATCTTCCAACTGGCATAGCCAATTTTGAGGAAGTTGTAGGCCATCTTGGGGAGCACAAGTTGCCTTGTCTAATATATGAATTCCTTTGAGATCTTTTAGGTCCAAATATTCTAAGGCAACCTATAACAGTTAAGCTCTAATAGTTCTCCCTGTGGACATTCAAGGTTGGTTGTACAAACATACACAATGAACATCAAACTCTGAGCTCAGCTACACAGGATTTTAAATGCACATTTACCTTTAATGTGAAGGTTATTAACACTTTCCTCTCCTGCTGCAGCCCTGAGGAAAATAGCTCATTTGAAACTGGTATTTGTGCTGAGAGGAAGTTTCCCATTGGCACCAGCCATGAAATGCCAGCTTCAAAAGAGCCGTTTCTTCCAGGACTGCAATTCCTCCTTCACACCTACTGTGACCATGGTAATTGTCACATTTACCCTTCTGGTAATATTTGCATTTTTAAAAACCTACACATGAAATGCAAATGTTCATTTAACTTCACAACTAGTTTGGTCCTCTGATCTGGTAAATATAGCAATACAATCCAAATTTATTATAGAGTTTTGTTTTTGTGCTGTTACATAAAACTTCTGACTTTATAAACATATGCAGCATTTACATGGCTCAGCTGGATTTCTCTCCCTCACATCTCCTTTTAATATTTAGCAAATTACACAAATAGAAACAGACATGAAAAACCGAGCAGCTGTGTACAACAACATCAAAGGAAATCTCCAGAACCTGGAAAGAAAAAACGTGTATGTATATATATAAAAAATAAGACTGTATATTAGTAGTGGTGAATTACATTTTATATGGGTTGTGATATTTATTTGATGTTATGATCTAACATGTCATTTGCAGTGAAATATAGTCCTAGAGACAAGTGATGTTTTATTTATGTTTCATGTGGACTAGGTAAGTTCCTTAGAGCACAATCCAGTGCCCCTAACTACAGATGCAAGTAAGTCCGCTGCCCATGCCTTGTGCTGTATCATTTGTCTAGACAACAACCATGGAGATTAAGGAGGGGAGGAAAGGAGGCTAGGGAGCCAATAGGAACCAGCATAAGCTGTTGGTCCCAGCCCCTCCACTTTCCAGCATACTACTTTTCTGACAGTATGGTTCTTTCTATACTAGCCTTTTTTTTCCTTTTTTTTTGGGGAGTGGGTGCAGGCTTAGCCTTAGGAGAACCTCAAAGCTGATCTTTGACTAATCCTTTGGCCCCCTGCTGGGATTAGGAGGCCATAGGATCAAACCCTTTGTGAATCTGTTGGTGGGAAAGTAAAAATCAGGGAGGGGAACTTGATTTGGTGGGGGACCAGCTGACAGTAGGGAAGGGGGGCATGTACTGTGCTTTTGTCTCATCCCAGCTACAGCATCAGCTGGAGCTCCTCCAGCCAGTGCTTCTGTCAGGGACTTGGAGTGAGGCTTTCTGCAGCCACAGCAAGCCCAAATGCTGGAAAGCTGCTGCAAACAAAGTGCTGGAGGGAGGAATGGTCCATCTGGCACCTTGCCTGAACCACGTCTTCAGTGGGGAACATGAGAGACTGCAGGGCACACAGCATATTGTTTGCCCTCCCAACTGAGATGACAAGTGGTGCGCTAAGGGGGATCTCCAGTGACCTCTGATCACTGGAAACAGCAGCTCCTCTCTCCACTGCCCCCCAGGAAAATCCAGGCTGGGGAGGGAGCAGGGCTAGGGAGCCCCAGCAAACTGGGAGAAATTCCCTGGACTGGATTTGGCCCATGGGCCAGAGGTTTCCCGTCCCTGAGATACATGTATGCAATACTTTAAAACTATATGAACTCAGGTTAAATAAGTGTCTATTTTGCAGAAACACTGAAGAGGGGAAATAAATATAAATGCTTGGGGAACTGGTCTTGGTTCAAATTGTTCCAAGCATATACCAAGCAACTGTAAGTTTGTTTTGGTGGGGGCATGGCAGGCCAACCATATCCTGAAAATGTATCTCCAGATGCATACAATTCTAGAATTACTACAAGTTTAACCACTGCCACTAATCAGCTTTTATAAGCTTTCAGCAGTGATAATACTTATGCCTCCTAATGCTGGGCGGTTTTTTGTCTTTTCTTTTAGGGGAAATCTTCTGACACGTACTTTAACTGATATAGTAAACAAAGAAGACTTTGTGTTGAATTCTGAGTATCTCATCACTCTACTCGTTTTTGTCCCCAAGTAAGAATAACTTTGACCTTCCTGTGGATGAACTTAATCATATCATTCAGCATTCACAGAACAGTTTAGAGGAATTTAAGCACTTCACACACATTATTTCAGGGATCCTCCCAACAGCCCTGCAGGGATGCCCCACTTACCCTCATTTTGCAGATATGAAGTTGAGAGAAAGTAGTTTACCGGCCAGCTGGCGCGTTCATGGCAAAAACAAGCTTTGAAGCAGGGACCTTGTGGTTTGTAGGCCACTGCACCAGTTGACGTAACTAATGCATGCATTTTGCATGCAAATTGTGAATGAGAGAGACCCCAGACATACATTAGAAACAAGATGCATGTTTTCCGAGCAAGAAGTATATTCTGCTGTACCTGTGTAAAGTGGCAACATACAAGCTGCACAGTCTTATGAAAATAAAGCTAGAGTACACCAACTCCCCTCTTCCTTCCCTTTTAAAGACTGATGCTGATGGACACAATAGCGAAAGCAGCAGCTCTCCCCACTGCTCCTGCTTGGTTTTGTTGATGCAAGCCACGTCAGCATACTCATGCAGGATCAAGTCCTGGCTGACAGCTCTTTCCCCGTGTATCTGCCTGGCATTCAGCAGGAAGCTGTTAAGACCCAATGGACTGTATAAAAAGAAGCAGAGGTCACAAAGCGCTGTACTAGCTGTGGTTTCTCTGCACACCTAAATGTTTGTGTTCCACCTTCCTGGTTTCAGGTCAAGCTACGTGCAATGGCAAAAAACATACGAATCGCTCTCCGACATGGTAGTTCCTCGCTCTACGAAGTAAGTGAGATGGCTCAGCTGGCCCTTTTCTCTGATCCGTTGCAACTTAAGCCTCATTCTCATAATTCTTGATAGAGGATGAACTGCCCAGTGACTCTTTCCCTTCCTCATCCCTGTGGAAGGTATGGCAATGAAAGCTTCAAGAGCACTGAAGCTTCCTGATAGCGAAGCATAGATTTAGGACCTGTAGGACTTGAACCTGGATTTAGAGTAAGGTTATGGAACAGAGGACTTACTCCAAGCATTTGGCACCTGCATTTTCCAATTTGTTTCGGTTAACGAAATATGAAATTTCTCAGCTTGGTATGTTCCTGATCTGAATGACATGGAACACTGGAAGCCTGGTTTATTTGTGGACAGGACATTCAGTTTGGTTGGGTGGCAGGGCTCCTGTTCCTTCAGGAAATTGGAAGAAGAGTGTCTTTTAGTTGATGCTCTGTTAGAAAATTCTCCTTGCTTAGAAAGAGCTATTCATTTATTTACCATATTTGTATGCAGCCCCATATTGTAATTTTTTCCTCAGGGCCTAATGCTATATTGACGAATTTGCACCATTGACCTGACTTCTAAAATGACGGGATCCCATCATTCCTGATGCTCTGACCACTGTAATGGTGCAGGGATGAGAAACTGTTAGCCTGTGGGGCTCTTTAACCCACCCTATGAAGGCTTTGCCAGTGGAAACTCCCCTCTCCCCCCTTTACCTTTCAACTGCTCGACTCCCATCAGCAATTTTCCCAGTATTTCCGCTGAGGGGACGAGTTGGCTGCTGGGTTCTGAAAAGTTTTCCTTTGTCCAATAGCAAACTGCTCTTATTTCTTATCAGCTGCTGGCTGGAGATAGCAGCTTTTCCCTGAAGAGAGAAAGGGCATGAGAAGAAACTAAGTTATTCTGTCCTGCTTACTTCTAAGTAGAAGTATCCTACTATAACCTCCTGAGGCCTTTCTTGCTTGCTTCAGTGTAGGCCAGAATATCATTATCTTAGTCCCACCTACTCTGCCTTTGGTTTTTCCCATAAACAGACTGCAACCCCAAGAGATCTTTTCCAGTTTGAAATTTGACCCCTGGACGGAAAAAAAGAGTTTACACATCCCTTCTGTACAGCAACTGCCTCTCCAACCCTGGTGCCCTCTCCAGATGTGCCAGGGACTCCAGTGGTTGGCTGGGGATAGGTATTGTAGTCCAATACATCTGGAAGGTAATTGTTTGGGTGAGGCAGCTCTGTTGTTTCAAAGAGCAGAGAACATGGTGGGGAGGAAGTAGTAGACCCTGATTTCTGGTATGCATATCTTTAAAAGCAAGGTGCTTTTCTGTTAGTTAAGAAGCAAAAGTGCAGTTGTATTGGGGGTTGAAGAAAGCTGAACTAGGCATGCTGTAACGGAACACACATAACACTGCTGTACCAGGCTGTGTTGAAGGGACAGTCGAGAAATCGATCCGATCTGGCAACCAGCCGCTTGGCTCATTATCCCTTTGTAAATTTTATGTTTTATCATTAATTGCCTTGGACAACTGCTATAGAAAGATGAGATAATTCTTTTCAAAAATGTATTTCATTCCTTCAGGATGATTGCTGAAGATGCAGAGGGAGGACTCTTCACTGTAACGCTATTCCGGAAAGTGATGGATGATTTTAAAGCCAAAGCAAGGCAGAACAAGTACTGTTCATTTTCTATTAGTGTGGTATTTAGCAGAGCAAAAACTAGGAACTTGTCTGCATTATTACATTATTGCTCCTGAATTCTGCATGAAGAAGAGCGCTCTATTCTGAAAAGCTGTACATTTAAACCTCTTGAAAAGAATTTCCAGGCACATTGTGCTTATGTGCAACTTGATAATAACAATTTTATATTGTTATTTTATATTGTTAATTTGTATGTATATTTGAATGTTTTATATTTTATGTTGTGAGCCGCCCCGAGGCTTCGGCGAATGGGGCGGCATAGAAATGTTTTAAATAAATAAATAGATAGATAGATAGGGACAGAAACAGGAACAGTACCCTTTATAAACCAAATATTCTAGCCAAATATATTCCCATTACACAAATGGGTAATGTATAACCAGTGTTGAGGCTCATGAATAGAAATATCTGCAAGAGTTCCTTGAAAGCTTTAAAGTTCCATTCCCCCACCATGATAAATCAGACCAATGTACTAGTTTTTGCCTCCCGAGAAAGCTTTGAATCTGTGTTAGCTGTAAATGCATGCACACAAAATCATTCTAAATGCACAGGTAAAATAAATGCACCTTTTCATTTGCTTTAAGGTTCATGGTGCGGGAATTTTATTTTGATGAGAAAGAACTGAAATGTGAAAAAGAGGAAATGAGGAAGCTAGCGTCTGATAAGAAGCAGCAGTATGTAAGTACGCTACAGCACTGCATACCTCTCAACAGAATACTGGATTCCAGATCTACAGCTTAGGAAGGGTGAAGACTGACTATTGAAGAGGGAAAGTGAATCACCTCAAGTCTTGTTCAACACGGCCGTGTCATGCAGGGCTAAATGTCAGGCCAACTGAATACCCCGAAAGCATTTCAGGATCCTACTTTTAGTGAAATAATTGTGCATGAACTGATTAGACACATGATATAATTTTGGTATTATATTGAAAGAATGTGCATCGCAGAGTATTTTAAACATATCACGTATATTTGCTGGCTAGTTTTTGGGGTATCATTGGCCACAGAGGACAGTCCCATTCCCCCACCATGTTAAATCTATTTTGGCTGTGCTGGAACTGTTCTCACGTGGCATGGCCTTAATGCACACACGGCAGGCACCGTGCTGAAGCTAGGCAGGTCTGGGGCTGGTGAGTTATAACTGGGAACATCTAGCCACCTTGAATTCCATAACAGAAGGTGCGACAAAAATGACAAATAACACCTGATTAAATGCTCCCCTGGTGCTACTTTCAAGTCTGTGTACTTTCAAGCAGTGTACTTGCTGCTTTTAAACTCAAGCAGCAGCAAGATTATTCTGCCCTCCAAAGCAACACTTCCTTTATCTGACGGAGGTTTTCCTTTAAGGCAGTGCGCTGCAAAGCTGGAGGAGAGAACATGCCTATCTCCCCACTCCCCCTGCCATTCTGAAAAGTAAAACAATAAAGTTTTATCTATACGAAGATAGGATATTGGGTCCTTGAGATTGAGGCTGCATGAAAAATGTTGATGGCCTACGCAGAAAATTCAAATGGCAGCTATCATGGTTATATAATAACCATCACCCACTAAATAATCATTTTCTGCTTTGGACTGATGCTTTGCCTTCTGCCACTTATCCAGGCCAAGCTAGTTAACTGTGCAACAGGGCTAGGGATCTGGGATGGGGCAGGATTAATAGCATGTAGCAAATATTTTATGCAATTCCTATATAAGTTACAGTATTTATGTTTCCAAACAAAAGCAGTGTACCTTTTTTCTTATTAAAGGGCCCGCTATTACGCTGGCTAAAGGTGAACTTTAGTGAAGCATTTGTGGCTTGGATTCACATAAAGGCTCTTAGAGTTTTCTCAGAATCTGTCCTCCGGTAAGTGAGTAAATAAAGGATTAATTTTCTTGAGAAAAAGATACAATCACATAACTAACTTACCTGCTATATACTCTAAAAATCAATATAAGGAAGGGAGCCTGATTTTTAAAAGCAGGGCAAATAGGAAATGTCTGATGCTGGTTATGACTTCAGAAAAAAATAGACTCTTCAGGTTACAAACTTTCTGCACTGGAACAGGGAGTTTGCTGCAGAGCAGAAAAAGGAAATTATTTGGAAATTAGTATTTAACTGCATTCAGAATATCATCAGGTATTTCACAGATGTACAGAACAATATAGAAGGGACCAGTAATTGGCTGACATCTTATCCCATTGCCTTAAATTTCAAAAAGGTATGGTCTGCCAGTGAATTTCCAGGCGATGCTACTTCAGCCCAACAAGAAATCTGCAAAGAGGTTGCGGGACGTCCTTAATACAGTCTTCAAACATCTGGATGAAGTAGCAGCAGCCAGTATAATGGATGTAAGTGTTCGGTTTATGGAAGACAAATGCCTTGTTTTAACTAGTACTCAATAAATTATTGCCCTTTTCCAGATTCCCAGGTCCTAAGCAACATAATGAATACCTACTTTAGTCATGCTTTTCTAACCTTTTCCAGGCTTCTGTGGACATTCCTGGCTTACAACTGAGCAATCAAGACTACTACCCTTACGTCTACTACAAGATTGACCTCAGCCTTCTTGACTGCAGCTAAGCAATGCCTGACTGGCCACAAAGCTAGTCCTCCAGTATTCTAGTATCTGATTGTGCATGAACAATGAAACCGACACACAACACTTCCACTCCAAGCTATTTCTTCAAAACACCATACTAAGACACCACACAATGGGAAGAGAGTCCCTTTCTGTGTTGGAGGAGCAAGTATTTTAAGCAAGTGTCAATAGCAGCTTCACCCCATTATGCTTCTACAGTAATTTTGCCCTCTTCCATTTTAAGTGTTAAAATTCTGGAAGCCTTTTCTGATCATGTTAGAAAACATGCTTGACAAGGCAATTGTGTTACAGTTGTATTTATTTTTTATGTAAGTTACAAAATTTCTCAACCAGGATATTAAATAAAATCAAGAAAGATCTGGTCCTCAAGATGATCAAGTACTCTTAAGTGGTGGATCTGTTAACTGTAACAGATTCATTCAATGTAGCAGGTATGCACTCTAAACTGAGCAGTAGGCCACAGACCTGGAGATGTGCACCAGGGCTCTGAACTGCTAGTCCTGATCTGCTCAAATTATGCGTTTCACTAAGTTATTTCAATTTAGTGAAATCCAGACAGATATATTGATGAGAACTGATGCAGCTAAGACTATTAATATCCCCAGTCAATCAAATGTCTGGAGAAATGGCTGGGGTGGGTACACAGCCAGCAATGAACAGCACTGGAAATCATGTTGCCAGTTTGCTAGAAGTGTATCTTTGAGGCAGTTTAGTGTAATTGTGTGCCTTAAAATTGATTCCCCGTGCTTTTAAAAATAGATTGCAACTGAAATAAGTAACAACCATAAAAAGTAGTATGGAAAACAGCAACATGTTCGGTTATAACTAGTTTATAAACCTTTCTCCAAGGGTAGCTTACAAAAAAGTGAATTGAGTAGGGAATTGGCTAAAATAATGCTAGACAAGGTAGTTCTCTCTGGAAAGAGTGAATCTTATTTCTGTTTAGGTGGTATTCATTTAATACTGATACACGGGGTATTTTCACACCTTCCCTCCAAAGAAACCGTGACACATGCTGCATGGAAATGACAAGAGATGTCCCTCTGTACAGCAGCTGAACCAAAACCAATATGGAACCATGGGAACATCATCAGAGACCACGGGAATACCAGACTAGGAGAATCCTCAGAAGTCACACTGTTCCGCTAGTGTGCGACTCAACCCCTTTTGCAGAGCAGCATGGGACTCCATCAGTCCAAGATTCCCATTCCAAATTGGCTCTGTCACATCACGAGTACAGCTGCCGGGGGCACTCCTTCGAGCAACGTGGACTTCTGTGAAGTCCACATGTTCCAAAAGGAAGGGTTGAGAAGTATCTTCTCTAATAAAGGACTGCACACTCAGTGACCTAAGCATGGAAGTTCTCCATGCTACTAAGCATCCCCTGCAAACGGAGACCTGAAACACTGCACTGGTTTGCCAAAAGGTGGGGAGCTTTTCATTGTACAACACTGACACAGTGTCAAAAATACGGTTTTATTCTTTCATTGAAACGAAGGCTCGAGCAACTCGCTTTTGGGAGAGGGAAAAGGTCGCATTTTAAAACTAGTTACAGTAAAAGCCTCAAGTCACTGTCAACCACCACATACCAGCCGGACAAAGCCAAAATAGGAATATTTCAATGAAAGATCAGTGTCATCCTCAGAGTATCTGTTGGACAGGATACAATCAGTTTCACTCAATACAAAAAAATTCATAGAATTTTAGAGGTTTTTTTTTCTTGAGAGACACACTACAGCATTTCCAGCAGCTGACTGCTGGCTTCTCTCTCTCAGCAAAAAGGCCCTGGTATGTCCATGCGATGCAAAGCAACGTTCCATCAGGCTGCTACCCAAAGTCTCTCAAGAAACAAGATCTTCAAGTTCTCACAATTCATCCTTCTCATTATCCCAGTCATCAAGATCTATGTCACTGAGATCAATATCTTCTTCAGCTGGAAGCTATAAGACAATTAAACAGAGCATGAATTAAATAGGTATTTATTCAGATGCATTAATTGATGTTTCCACACATTTCTTCGGATCAAGTTCAGAATGCACTTCAGCTAGGATGTTAGGTTCAAAAGTTAGCGGTCACAAGAACAGTCAAGGTTCACAATTCCCATCAGCCCTTGACAGCATGACCAATCACAAGGAATGATGGGAATTAAGTCTAAAATATCTGGAGGACAACAAATTGACCAGCCACATTTCAGTGAGCCACTGTTACCAGTCACCTCTTCATTCTAGAATGAAGACCTAATTCTTCTGTGGTGCATTTCTGACAATTTTTCTACCATCTACCAGCCTCACACCCTTGATGAATCCATAGTAATATAAACGGCATACATCTAACACCACTACTTAAGTGAATTTGCTCCCAAGTTAGGATTTACCTATGCAACTTGGGTAGTATATTTTCACTTCATACTAAAAAGCATACACCATCTAGTTCTGAACTCACTGAAATTTTGACTACAAGCTTTGATAGTGGCAGGGCTTTTTGGTCACTTTATAAAAATAACAGAAAGTAAAAGGAACCAATTTATAGTTAGCAGCATGATTAGAGATTTCCTTAAATGTTTTGTACAGTTTTTTATAGATTTAGTAGAATTACAATTAGTTGATGTATCATACAGAAAGAGGGAAGTAGTCAAACTACACATTGAATAGCAAACCACCCCCCCCAAAAAAAAAAAAAACAGTACTACAATTTGGCCAATATAACACGAATGAGAAAAAGAAAAGAAAAAGAGGAACTACTGACTATGTGAAGGCAAAGTAGGCCAGGAGTGTACATGGAGAAAGAGCAGACTGAGTCAAAAGCCTGATGAGCAGCTTGCATGAACACAGGAAGGAAAAATATGTAGACCAGCCTGCACCACAAAAGAGTTAGATGGGCTCCAATAGAATAGAGGAAAAAGGTGGCAACAAGAGAGACCAAAGCGAAACATGTCCAAAGCTTTAAAACAAGAACCAAAAACCCAGCACATGCAACTTAGCTTGGAGCCTAAGTTTTTCAGAGATGAGGAAGATGACAGAAAAAGCAGATGGGTCAATATTCTAGAAATCGTAAATAAGGTTGAAAAACCAAGTTGTCTATCCTTTATGGAAATAAACACATTTAACAGTTTTACAACATTTAAACAGACTGAGAAGAGACCCCCCCCCCCAATCAGAATTGCTAATGTGAAGTGTTCCTCTCCGGATGACAAGATCTGTTAAGCACCCGATGAGCTCTAAATGAAAATGTATGCATGTAAATGACTTATGCTCACATATGTAGAGATCAAAACGGTGCCCCTTACCTCACCATCTTTGCCATCCCATGGCTCTATGGTGTTAATCTTTGCAAAAGCCCCTCCACCTACTGGTGCTGTAGATCCACGACCGACGGAAAGTTCCCTAAAAACAGAAGATTCAAATTCATATTTTCTTCATAACCAGCAAACTGTCTGCCCATGGTAACCTAGCAGGACTGAGTTCGCTATTCAACTAGTCATTTATAGTCCACCTGTTTCATTTGTGATGGAAAAATAAGTTATGTGACACGTTTGAAAGATTTACTCAATGCAAAGGAGCCCTAACAAACACAAAAATAAAGCAATCCCAAGAATTATCTCCAGGTACAGTTTGGTTGTGCTTTTGGCCCCTACTGCTAACAGGCAACTTCGGTCAAACTCAGTGCATGGGGGAGATGGCTCTCCCTCTCTCATAATACTGGAACTCATGGTCACTCATGAAACTAACTGGTGGGAAATTCCAGACAGACCATCAGAATTGCCTTGGTGCAGAGCGCATAGATGTGGGGATATACCTCAGGAATTCATTGATTCCTTGCTCACTGAAGGATCCTTTCAGCAGTGCAAACTTCATCTTTCGTGCATTCACTGCTGCCATGGCTGGGTACCCAAATCCTCCAATTCCCAAAGAAGATTCCAGATCAGACTGTGCTCCAGCCTCTGTCCACAGCCATCTTTGAAAAAAGAGAAAGAGCTCATAGCAACTGCACATGAAGATCGGTGTACAAACAAGTTTGGGAGCTCCTGCATTTCCCCATGTCTATTCATGTCAACGAGGAAAGAAAATAGTGCGGATTTCCAAAGCACACAATGTGTCCCTTAGTCAACAGTCAAGCTAGTGTTAAATCTATACTGGTCCATAGTAGCAGTACTGTTGTCTCCATATTTGCATTTCTACATTTATTGGGACACATTATTCTGCATAGTACAAGTGGGAAAAAAAAGCATCAGAGAAGTGATCTTCTGCAAAGATCTGCCTTTTTATAGTATAAAATAACCTGTCCTTACCCCCACATCTTCTTTTTGTACTTGTCTGCCATTTTCAACATGACTTCCAAGTAGGAATTTCTACCTGCAGCTCCTGTTTGATAGATGGAGAATACATAATGAAAGGAACATGGGTGATGCCAGCATTAGAGACAGACCATAAATGGGAAAATTTAGTCTTCTTGCTTACCTGTGTCAAGAATGTGGGGCAAGACAGAAATGATACAGAGCTGGTGAGCATCACAAGTTTGCTTCAGGACATCTTCACTAATAATCTGAGAGAAATAAATGCCTCATTACTGCAGAACTAATCACTGAAAGATTACAGCAGCAAGCTGCCATTTCACTCTTCCCAAAAGCTTGCCCTGCCTTTGCCTGTTCTTTCCTAGTGCAACTGGCTCATCTGCTGCAGTGCCAGAGAGGAGCTTGGCAAGCATGCTTGTCAGAGCAATTCTGGCTACTACTTGCCTCTAGCTGCTCCAACATAATGAGTGCCTAGGTCAGCCTCAAGCCAAGTAGCCAGGGGTTAAAGCAGTTCTAGGCGCTGGCAGAATACCCATTTCTGAAAAAGTCCATGCACAACTTCTGTTAAAATTAAGTCACATGATGTGCTTCTGACATGTCGACAGAAGCATGTGTCAGAAGGAGAACACCTTGACATCTCAAGGAAAAATTTGTTACAAAGCCTTTTAACAGCAAGCTTTGTTGCTTACTACACAAACCAAATATGTGAATAGTAGGGCTGGGACGAATCCTTTTCAAATCTGTCCCTCTGGCATCTGCTGACCTCCCTTTGTGCTCAGATTGGTCCAGCAAAGTGAGCCAAGCCAAGAGGAAGTCCGTGGACCCCCATGGACCGGCGGCTGTGCAGCCATCAACCTTCCCTGTCAGGCGCAGCTGCCCAGAGAGCAGCTGCAGGACGCAGAACAGGGATGCTGCGAGTGGGCACACCAGGTGCCATCCCTCATGACCGATTGGCGAAAGTGCCAGGCCTGGAAGGAGGCACCGCCTGCACAGCACACGGGGCTCAATTCCTGGCAGGCGACCCCCAAACATTGGGAGAACTTGCCAGGAACTCGGACTCGGGGGCACTGGAGTCCGGGAAGCCAAGCCCAAGGAATCTGATGGAACCCCATCCTAAAACAGATTCTCCACACATCCCTAGTTAACACAACCCACATGACAAGAGCAGGGCAGCATCCAATGCTGCCTGTGCATTTCCACTGATGTTGTGCCACAAAGAAACTTTGTTGTCCCATTCCAGAAAGTAGCTTTCCGGCTCATTTCCGCAGCTGCTCTAGGAAGCACAAGCTGCCTCTTCCACCAGCAGTGGGCCCTGCTGCTACAGGGGCAATGCTGGATATAGTAAAGTGTACATGTACCGTTGGTTTATTGCCAAGTGCCATGAAATATATGAAGGCAGTATGCAATTTTCTATCCCAGGTCCAAATACAGAAATCCACTGAGATGCCACCCTTAACTTTTCACCAGGATTTTCTTCAAAGAACTACCCTATGTACAAATAGCCAGTTCAGATGCTCAGTTCTAATGGCTCTGTAGGCAAAACGGGACTACTGAAAAAGAAGAGGGTGGTATCAGCATGCCCAAGAAAGTCCCAAGGTTTACAGAGACAGAAAAAAAAATCACAGGGAAAAATGTAGCTGAGAGCAAAGTCTCACAAGACAGCTAATACTGAGCATGCTCAGTGTCCAAAGACTGCTACATACCTGTTGGGGAACTAGGGGGAGGGGAGAGAATATTCTGAAAGAAGGCATGGCTGAGTGGCACACTGAGTGGAACATTTTGCTGCTAAATGATAAAAAGGAAGCTCAGAAAGAATGTGTTTAGCTTTTCAGGACAAGGATACCTCTAGGAGTTCAGGTGCTGGTGCATTCTCCGAGAATAGGTCCAAAGCACGAGCCACTATATCTGATTTTGTCCTTCCACCATCAAAATCAACAGGATCTTCTCCCTTCTGGAAGATCTTTATGGTAGGGAATCCACGGATCTGGAATGAAGGTTTCAGATGGGAGCAAATCAGACTGACAGACTGATCAGAAGGAACCATCATCTATTCAGTGTGCAGCTTTACAATTAAACTGAAGAGCTTAAGTGCATTGCAAGAAATTGAACTTTTGCAGACCCCAGGTCTTCTAAATTGTGGAAGTGCCATGCAAACATGGGCACTGTGGCACACATGTCCCTTTGTTAAGAAAACATGTCCTAATGCAGGACATGGAAACAGGGTGTGTCCTCACTGTGTGTCAATTTCGAGATGCAGTAAGTTAAGATGCACGAATCAGTGCTTAAAATGTTCACCGAGAGAAAACCTATTTGACATTAGAAAGAACCCTCTGGATGAAATGAAAACACTACATGTCCAACGCTGCTATTACTGTTTATTGCATCTACTCACCCCGTATCGGCTTGCTAGCACCTGGTTCGATGTAGCATCTACAGCAGCTAATTTAACTTTGCCCTTGGTTTGTTCCTTCACCTCTGTTGCTGCTGATGCCCATTCTGGCTCTAAACTGTTGGAAGCAAAGTTTTGTTAGAATGCACTTTAAAGGCCCATCCAAATCAATCAAACAAACTAACAAAAAACACGACTGCAGAAAATGACTGAGCAATGACAGTGAGCTTAAGTTAAGGGTGGGTATGACGAAGAAATCATTTTAGACTGGTAGGTTCTTAGATGACCAAGTCGGCAATCCTGTGGCATTTACTTGAAGATAAACAGTGCCATGATGGGATTCACTTCTGAATAATCATGCCTATAAGGGCAGTGTAGCTACCTAAGATTTTTTTTAAATTTATTTTAAACTACTACTGTGAAAACAGAACTTGATCGTTTACGTGCTATTAGATTTACAGCAGGTTTTACTTCAGACCAGTGTATGATCAACAATGAGAGGGATGACCTTCTCCCATACCAGCCTATCCAAAGTGCTGAGACAGTCATCAGTGGCCCTTCCTACTTGCCCGTTGACAAGGAGGGTTGGTGTAGTCCACCATCTCAGCAGTGCCTCAAGCTTCTAGAATCAGCTTCCACTAGAAGCTGCAATGAACTGAACAGGGCTTGCTTCTGAGTAGACATGTGTATAGGACTACACAGTTGATTTCCTTTGCCCAAAATATAACTTCAAATGTCTGTTTCCTGGTTGCACACAAAGTAATTCCACCTTCAATTCAGGGGCATTTACGTACTTTTTGCAATGTCCACACCAAGGGGCGTAAAATTCTACCAGCCAGATGTCATCGCTATTCAAAACACTGCTATCAAAGGTGTCGTCCGTCAACTCGATCACATCCTTTTTGCCTGAACCTCCACTTTCACGGCTGCTCTGTAGTTCAAATCACAAACACAAAACACCCCAAGTTTTAGTTCTCTTACCACAATCCAGCAAAGGTTACTTGGCGTATGTAAATAGAGACCTGATTATTAGCGGTAAGAGGTGTGTGCATGTGCCCACAGCACATCAATCTACACAGCTGAGCACGTCGAGCCCCGTTTACCCACTGCCCAGTTTTTACTTTCTAATCCATTGTTAGGTAAGTTCTGGAAAACATTTTGCCTTGCAAGCCATGATGGCAAAATTAACCAGAAGAGCACTGTGAGACTATTCTGCCCTTGCTGTGCCCTCCTCGACATTTTGCTACAATACAAAGCCATCAGTTCCTCACACGCAAATGACAATTCCACCTACGATTTCTCAGCATCTGAAAGGTATGCCCCATGTGCTGTTGAAGAGTTTTAAAGCAGAAAACATACTCTTTCCACTTCATCTGCATTTTATTTCCAACTGTTAAACTTTCTTTAAACTTATCATTAACATCCCATTTCCTCCCTGCCCCACCCACAAGTATTCTCCATTTAACTTCTAGTATCTTTGTGGCAAAACCCCTGCCTGAAAACATGTTTATGAAACTGGGTCTCTGCAAAAAGCAGTAGGCGATGACTGGCTGGAAGTACCTGCTTGCCAGAGCTGTAGCCCCCTCTGCCACCAAGGCGATCTTTTACTAGCGACCGGAGAGCGCCCAACGCTGCGTCAACAATGGCGTCACTCGTCCTGGCCCCTGCGGTGCAAGAGAAAGACAGAATTAAGGCTCACCATGTGTCAGCATCTGGGGTCTTCCAAGTGCTGTCTCTGGGCAGCAAGCTGCTTCCAGGTGCCTCTCCTGGCACCCACCGAGCTCCTTACCCTTCTTAATGCTATTTATTTCTTTAAGACTTCTAGAATTATTATTTTAACTGGGACGACAGCATGTTGCCCTACAGCACCATCTTTATTTTGGTTATTTTAGCGTTTAGATCTACCTCTGCCTTGACACAAGTTCTCAGTCAAGTTTCCTTTTAGTTCCTCCAGCATCCCTTCTGGGAAACGACTGTTTTGTGACTGGCCACTTCATTTATAGCTAAATGTCATGGCAGCCATTGGGTGAGCACACCCGACACAGTCAAAAATCCAAATGTGCCTACTGATTCAAAAAAGTTGGAGACTTCTTGAAGTAGGCTAGGAACCTTCAACAGCAGCAAAAGAAACAGTCAAGCAGCTTCTCTGCGCAGGAGAAATGTTATCTACCAAAAGGATTAATGGAGTAATTGGTAGCACTGGAGTTTGAGTCTAAATTTAGAAACCCTGCACTTGAGAAACCCATCTGCCTCCAGAGCATGTGCTTCCACATTCATTAATGCTACCACAAAGGCAACCAATCTGTCTCATAGTTGTGACACTGTGGGCTTGCTCTCTGCACTAGAGACCAGCTAGCAAGACAAACTTTGGCTATTTCAATATGCACAAAAATGATTACAACTGTTGTCTTTTTCATAACAAATCGGGCTATTACACTGTATATGAGAAAAGAACGTACCCTGATAATCTTCCGCTTTGTTCTTGTTGGCACCAAATATTTTGATAGTGGGAAATCCTTTGACGCCATACTGGCCACCTAGGGACTGATGTTTATCTGCATCAACTGCTCCTACTTTTACAACACCCTGCAAGAAAGGAAAACCTCCCTTTAGTTACAATAAGGAACAAAACAAATCAAACTTGAAGGAGGAGGTTTCCATGTAGGATGTTTGGTTGAGATAACATATGCACATTAAACTTGGCCTTAGTGAGATTGAAAATTAGTAAGGTATGAGGATATTCGTTCTCTTTAAATCACACCCTAGAAAATCTCACATTTGCTGTGACAGCCAACTCATAAAGATGTATGAGATGGCCATCCTTGTTAATATCCCATCTTTCCACAGAGCAACAAGTCACTCTCAGCCTAACCTATCTGAAGTGGTTGCTTGCACAGGGTTAAGATTTGAAAATATTCTATAATAAAGGTTTATTAAAGAAATCGTACTCAATCAACATTCATTTGAGTCATCAATTAAATGTGTATTCATTTGCATGTGTGTAAAACTTTTCTTAACTCCCCATGTTTTTCACAATATACTCAGGTTTTCTGGTAGGAACAATTTTTAAATGAAATATTTTAAAAACAATTTAATTGATCTAATGAAATGGTGCAACCTATTCTGAGCATGAGACAGAGCACAATTCTAGACACTAACAGCTTATGTATCAAATGGGACATCTTGGATATTCTATTTGCACTTAGGACTTCAAAATTTTGAAATGGCAAGCTTCAAGACAAATAAAAATCTGCAACCAAAGCAGCCAACGACAGCCAGCGAGACAGAGACAGGCAACAGTTTAGCAGCAGAGCAATGCTTCGCATCATGCCATGGGTCCCATGTCTAATCCACAATGTCTCCAGGTAGGGCTGGGAAAGGCCCCAGCCTGAAACCCTGGAGGACTTCTGCCAGTCAGTGCAGACAGTGCTGGGCAAGTGCATCACTCACTTTCAGTGCTGTTGCAGCTTTCTTCCACTCAGGGGTTAGTCTTTGACAGTGGCCGCACCTGAGAGGCAGAGGAAAGAGAAAGCATGTGGTTTACTCCAAAGCACATCCCTCTCTATGAAGTTAGAAACATTTGAGTACTCAGCATATGACTTTTTTGCACTCTAGAAGGCTACAAGCTAATAGAATGCGATTAGATTTTAAGATTGACCACTGGTTCTGTTTTAGATCTCTATTATGTCATATAGTTTGATACCTGTTTAAGTTTTTAGCAGAGCCTTCCAAGTTCATTCAATTGTGGAAATGGAAGGGCCGTATGCCAAAGTCCGTCCTGATCCCATAAATTCCGCACAACAGCGGCACTGGGCTTTGCAAAAGGTGCATAACTGACAGACATGAAACTGATGCAACTCTGTCACAGCTTTTTAATATTGGTACAGCATCCCCTGTATTCCTGACAGATTCTATGTCAGGAAGAAACATGGCATCATCCATGATCACCTAAAAATATGCATCTGGCTTAGGCTGAGTGTAAGTTAGCAGTCCAGGCCACTGTTAAAACTTTCCCAATCCCGGACCTTGTGTATAGATGGTTCCCTTTCAGACAAATTCTTTACAAATCACAGAGAACCTGAGAGGGAGAGAAGAAATTAACCCAACCCCTTTGGGTTGTCTTTCCAACCCAACCCACTGCCTTCCAAATGTTTTGGTCTTCAACTCCACTCAGACCCAGCCAACACAGATAGTAATCAGGAATGCTAAGAGCTGTGATCCAAAACATCTAGAAGACTGGAGAAGCTAAGGAAGAATCAACTTGGGGAAAGATGTTCTGTGAGCAATTCAGAGTAGAGACAAAGTCTCTCACTATGCTTCTGAAGTCATGGACGGAGGCATAAACCTGGTTCACACACAGCAACAATTCTGAGCAAAGCTGACTATGGCATGTTGTTGAATCACAGGTCAATGCTAGGTGAAAATCCCTGAACGATGATTTAACCATGGGTTGCTAACCATGAAAAATCCAATGCTCACAACCAAACAATAAACCATGGGTTCTTTGTATGGGTTGCCTGTATTAGTATTAGTGCATGGCCTAATTTATCCTTGGTGATTGTTATGCCATGCCAGCAGCCCACAAGCACTAGTTTTGCTTGCTGCACAAAGATGCCTGACTTTCCATGGCTTGTCATATGTCATGAGAACCCAGGCAGGAGGGGTTAAATAACCCATGGGTTGTTTTATAGCTATTTGAGGGTTAGAAAATTCTCAAAAAACTCTTATTACTTGGGTTTATACAGTATGACAACTTACAGCAAGGAGATCTCCCACAAGTACTATAAATGATGCAACATCCCCATGGGTAAATTAAGTCTTAGTGAACTGTCACGTTGTGCAAAGCAGGTCACAGTTAAGACACACTGCAATGTCTGCACCTAACCACCACCTACAATTCAGCAACCTACTTGTCATTACATGCGAACCAAGTCAAGACTTGTATTACTTTCATTTTTGTCAAACCCTGCGAAAAAAGCCACACCTTTTAAATTGTTTTTTGCACATGCCAAAAACCCCAAATTTTGATACAGCCCCCAAGTAATATTAGCCTCCAACTATTTCCTCCTTGCCTTTGAAAGGGTGTGAATTTGCAAAACGCAAACAAAAAGGCAAACTGAAGTAAACATGTACCTATCACATACCCATAAATAATATGTATTTTAAGAAGCGGGCTACCTCATTTGTCAACATTTAAATTACTTTAAAGGACCACTAAACCAAGCTAAATAAGCGTACCTTAAAAGGACCTAAATACAGTGGGTTCTTAAATTCTACTGATTTGGGCATGATTTAATAAATGAATGCAAAACAGTGGAGTAGTGCTCAGGACCATGACTGGGGAAACTTGGCCATGAAGCTCACTGGATAACTCTGGACCAGTTATGACTCTTAGTCATATCCACAGGGTTCTAGTGAGGATAAAGATAAGCAGGATCATACACATTACCTTGGCCCCCTTGGAAGGAAGGTAGATAGAAATGTAACAAACAAATAAAAAATTAGCAGACACTTCCACCTATATGCACAAAGAATACATAGGGATGTGTGAAAAGAGAAACTTGCCCACTTATAGAGCCCTGCAAATGAGAATGCCATGTCCCTTGGCAGCCATAGGCTTGATGCTATATATGCGATGTGAACCTTTTAGAGACCAAGTGTCCAAACTGCAACCCAAAACTCACTTATTTATCACAAAGTGCCAACACTGCAATAAAACCTGAATACTGTGGTTTTAGTTTAGAAAAAAAAAACTCATACATTATCTTGTGTCTTAAAAGAAAAACACAATAACAGAGTTTTCAATACACAAACTGCTTTTTATTGAAAGGTAAAAGTTTGCATTTGGCGTGCTTTTGCACAATTAATGTGGTCTTTGCTGTTGCATGCACGCTGATAATTGTTCAAACCTTGGCTCAAATATGCCAGGGGGACAGTACCACATTAAAAAGAATCTCAGTCTCTTAATTAGAACATCTCTTTGCTAAATCTTTGATATTAAATTTCAATTTTTCATATGAAAACTCAAAGCTAAAGTCTTGTGTTAATAAAAATGAATGTATTAAAACTCAGCCAGTCCAAGCAAATATATATCTATACACACACACATATCTCCTTGGCAGTGCACTGATTGGCCATGCGAAAGCTGAGTCGTGGCTTGTGACATCATCACCTGGCACCGTTACTCCTTTCCGAGCGTGCACATGACCGCTATGTGCACTGTTATCTGACAGCTGGAGAAATTTGGCTCATGTGCCAACAAAGAGGGGTCTGCGTGCCCGGTGTGGCATGTGTGCCATAGGTTCACCACCACTGCTATATATCAAATTTTTGGAAAACAAATGGAAGCAGGCTCTGACACACACACCTGCCTCACCACATTGTTAATGATAACTTCAACCACTGCAGGTAGATATTTTGTCCCAAGATACAGGCAAGTGTTATAGGATGTTGGCTACCTAATACCTCTTCAGAAAAGGTGGCAAACAGACTGTACAGTAGTAGTAATTATTGCCCAAACAATACTGGTCTATTAAGGCTTACCATGGAGCATAGAACTCTACAAGCCATAAGCTGTCGCTCTGAATGACCTCCCTGTTGAAGTTTGTTGGTGTGAGCTCTATAACATCATCACTGGAAGAATACAAGCTGTTAACAGCTAAGAAGAGTGTGCAACTTATGGTTCCTGGAATGCAAAGCAAAATTAAAGATATTTCAAAAGACAATCAGCAACTTTTGCTACATTATGGCCAAGAAAACCTGAATCAAGAGGTAAAGTGAGAAAAAACTGATTAACATCCACCAACCCAAACAGGACAAGAACTGCTGAAAGGGGCATGTGTAACACACACATCTTGGCCATTAGTATCTTTCCCCAGAACTCAAAGCATAAACCTGCCAGTGCGGTGTTGCAGTTAAAATTGAACTGGGACTTGGGGAACCTGGAATCTAGTTCCCACTCAGCCATGAACACTGGGTGGCTTTGGGTCAATCACAGACTTTCATCCTAGTCTACCTCACAGACTGGATTCACTCCAACCACAGCTGCAATCCTTAACACACTTGCTAGAGAATAAACTCCTTCAGCCATGCGTTTTCAATTCAAAATTGGCATACATGTGTGTCTGATCAGTGTCACACCCAATGCAAAAGTCACCTGTTTCCAGTGTTGAGTGTGACAATTTGTATGCTTTATCATGTTGCATGGTATTTTAATGCTACACTTTGCTAGTATTTTAAAATGACTGTTAACCAGCCAAAGGATTTGACTCAGATGCTCTATTTAATTAAAATGACTGCTGTCTTCAATAAATCTCTCTACAGTGATGAAAAAGTCAAATTCAAGAGCAGTCAGCACTTGAACCCCTTTAGGATACTAAAGGCTGGTTTTTCCAAAGGATGAACCCAAGGAAGTCTGTTGCAGCCAAAGCATCCAGACTATCAGCAGTTATTTTAAGGCAAGTTTGGGAAACTCCCTGGAAAATTCCCTGCATGTTATACCCATACCAAGTGATTTGTATAAAAGTACTTTGTTGGAAAGATCACCTTTATAACACATCTATTTAGATGATTCCATGAACAGAATTCCTGAAAAATCTAATTAATAGGATTGGCCACCAGCAAGCTGCATTAATGACACATTCCAACAACGCAAGGGCCATTTTAGAAAGAACAGTTATCTTTTCCTGCTAGAGACCTTACATTTGATGCATGTTTGAACATGTTGTTAACTATCTACAACTCATCTGCCAAACAATTAAGATACCTTTTCATGGTCTTGCAATATCTACTTTGGATTAAAAAGGGCATGATTCATGTGTGAAAAGAAAGGGTTAGGGTTAAAAGTATTTCCACCCCTTTCCCCCTTCTAAAAAGATGTGGCTGATTTAGTAGGTCTAGAAGAAACCACTCCCAGTGATTTAAGACAACTAGCACCAAATGTGAAAGTTCATCACCTTCGGTTTGTTTTCAAGTTCCATTGAGTTCAACAGGTTTTATTTCCAGAAAGTCTAAGTAAGAACGGCAGATAAGCCCTGTTGTGTATGTACAGGTGCCTATCTAGGTCAGCATGCTGTACCCCAGGGGCTACCCAGAGGCCCATGAAAAGCTCACACGCATGACACAAGGTAACAGCCCCGTCTCATTTGTAGCCCCCAACAACCAGTATTCAGAGAGACACTACCTATGATCTGGATGTAACAGTGTGTGCAGGAGCCATAGCTAGTTTTATAAAAGGTTGGTGACCACAGCTACATCTTGTGGAAGGAAATTCCACAGGTTAACTACATGGCGCATGAAGAAGGTCTTCCTTTTCTCTATCCTGAATCTCCCACTATTTCACTTCATTTGATGCCCTCCAGTTCCAGAATACGAAGGGATTGCAGCACTGACTGAAAGAAACAGTGGGGTGTAAAGCTTAATGATGTTCTAGGCCCAGATTCAAATTCCCCATCAGCAATGAAGCTGACTGCCTGGCTTTCAATTTCACTGAGCCTGTCATAAAAGACGGTCACATGGACAAATCCAACCGGAAAGGGGAGAGAACCCCGCACATCACGCTTAGTTCTTTGGGAGGAAGGATGGAATGAACTTAAAAAAATTAAATCTAGAAGCAGAGCCCTTCTCTTCATGCCTCTGATAAGGCTTCTCTCTGGTCTGTTAGCACCAAATGAGAGCAGCCTGATACAACTCCCGATAGTGCCAGCTAGCATAGCTAGTTAGAGAAGATGCAGGAAATTGTATTCCAATACACCAGAGGGACACAATGTTAGGGAAAGCTAGGCTAAAATAGTCTCTTTCTTTTAAAACTTGAGTGAAGAACGTGCGACCCTCCACATTTGAGTACCACAATTTCCATCGGCCACAGCCGGCAAAGGAAATGAGGAACAGGTATTACTTCTGTATTAAAATGCGCCCATCTTAATCCCACATGCAGCAACACTTCCAAAAAGGGGAGAAAGGGGGAAGCTTCCCAACCTCCGCCATGTTCCAGAACTAAATTTGAACATTTGATCGCGGGATTGTACACCCAGTCTAGAAAATAGGGCGAACCCGACCCCATCGGCCTGAGCTCCTCAGTGCCCCACCATCACCTGCAACGATGCCCGCCTCAGCAACCCGCTCTGCTCCTGCAATTTAGTAACAGACGAGCCTTGTTCTCCTCCACCAACAGCATCCCTCCCCACGTACCAAGGAGAACAGCTCTTCTGCCAAACGCGCCCATGTTGCACCCTTGGGACCTCCGACTCCTCGCCTTCACCCCGACGCTCGCCGTTCTACCCTGCCCTCCGCCAACAGAACCAAATGCCTCGGCGAATCTAGCCGTGGCCACCGCTCATTGGTGCACTCCTCGTTCTCTCCTTTGCATAACCAATGGCAGCCGGACGGATCAGAGCCGGAACGGGCGTGCGAGCGTTCGAAAGGGAGGAGTCAGTTTTCATCCGGGCCAAGGGACTGCGAGAAGCACTTAGATGTGAGGGGAGGAGTCGGCGCGGAATGATATTCTGCTTCCGGGACTGCTTACGCCTGCGCTTCAGGCTCGGACTGACGAGTCATAGCGATAGGAAGAGGACCGGGGTCTGGCGCAGGATCATACAATCTTTCTTAGATGCCTGGAAATATTGATGGTGCATGTATAAATCTACAGTACTTTTATGCCTACCTTATTGGTTGGAGGCGTTAGGTGACTTGAGCTCCCCTATGGCTTAGGCGTTTCTGTAAGTGCATCGTCTCCAATGCTTCTAAAGAGTAATGCATAACAGTTATATCCAAAGCTATGGGGTGTGCTCTCATTAATATGCTACTGAAAACTGGCTCTGCTTGTTTTTCCACATAAATCTTTGTTTACAGGGTTACACAGCCTGTGGCCCTCTGAAGCCTGTATTGCTCTCCTCAAAGGTTGCCTTGGCATCCCCACCACCACTACCAAATCTCTCCTTCCTTCCCAATTTCACTTGTTTGTACTCTTCATTCACATGGAAGTTACACAGATTGTTCCTCTGCTGCTGCTAGCAGTGCAGAAAGAGCAATTTCTATTGCACACACAGGTGTATGTATGTGTACACACATGTCTGTGTGTACACACAGCTTACCCTGACTTGCCTCTTTTCCCTGTATCCAACAGCAAAGGTAAAGACTGGGAAAGCTGCCAGTGGGGCATTTCTCTCTCCAAAGGCAGACTGCTGTTTCTCCCCTCAGATCTGAAAATTCCTATAGCCCAGGGTTTCCAACCTCTTCGGGCATTGGCACATTTGGAACTTTGAGAAAGTGTTGTAGAACATGTCACAAAATGTCAGCTTGCCCATTCATCAAATGGCTGCTCATTCATCAAATTGGCCATGTCTGTTCATAAAACACCCATTTCCAAGAGGGTGAACTGATGCTTCTAAAAGAAAAACAACTTGCTCAAAATCTAGACAAAGTACAGGTATGGTCTGAGCTATTTGAGCCTAAATTGGTGTTTTCTTTATTTTTTTTTAATTTAAAGATGTTTAGTGTGCAAGCTTATCAGATACCCATAACCCTCTGACATTGGATGATTATGCAGAGCCTGCACGCTCCATCCCCTTTGTAAAACACTTCAGCTGTCTCAATGTTTCCCCATCAGAGTGCAAGGGAAAGTGCCTGAGGTGCCTGTCTCCTCCTCTCTTCCTGCAGCCCCCTGAAACCCCTCTCCAAAGTTTCTCTTGTGACCTTGCAGACACAGCTGAAGTGGTTCTTTCTGCACTGGCTGTTCTGCACTCAGAGACCCAGCTACAAGATCAGAGCCCTTTTTCAACCTCGTAGCTTGTTCTCCAAAGAATACTCTGGCCAGCTAGACTCTGTCTAACAGCCACAAGATTGCAATGATTAAGACATAAAATAAAAACTAGGAGAGGCAGGCAGCCTGGTAGCACCAAAAACAGTGTCCATGGGCATACAGATACCTCAAATAGCCCCTGAAACATCCCAGGGACCATAGAACAGCAGCATAATAGAACTATAACATCAAATAATAAATAGATTATTTTTGAGCCTAGTTTTAAAATGGAACCAAACTTAGCGATAATTTTTGGAATTTAACAAAGGTAGTTAACATTAATTTTAATCTCGAGTGCAGCATTAAAATACATTGCACATTGTGTGGGGCCAAATTCCAATTTATTTGTTTTTAGCCTGTTGAGCTGCAAAAGGTCACCAAATTCTAGCATTCTGCCAACATGGTTTAGAAGGATTTTAGAAAAATGAAGGCCATAGTCAAAAACAGTAAAACATAAGAAACTATATACTACAGGTTGTTTCTTAATTCTAAATCACTGTTCTAGGTTAAACCACATGGTATTTTACCACTAAAACAGCATTGTGTTTGTTAGTGGTAAAACTTCTGCTTACCTCTGCTACAATATACCAATCCCTTTTCCAACCATGACACCCTGAAAAAGCCACAAGTTCTCCATATTCCGTTTTTTCTTTCAAAATTGCAGGGCTGGGGAAGGGTTGCCACTGCTGTGGAAAATTTGGCAGCAGCAGGAATGTGCAGCCTCCTGGTTGGTCAAGGGGAATCCCTGGAAGTTGCCTACCCCTGCATGTAAGTGTTTGTGGATTAATGTCCACGTCATCCAGTGCATGAAACAATATCCTGAGATGCATATATAAATATACATGAACACACACATGCACAGAGAGGAGTGTGGTAGAGTCAGACAAAAATGAAAAGTAGAAATAAAGAATTTTGCCTATAATAATAATTACTACAAATGGCCAGTTAGAAAACTGTTGTTGAAACTGCAACTGGCATGCCAATTAACACACATGATGTGTTTGTGTGTGTGAGAGAGAGAGAGAGAGAGAGGAAGAGAGAACCATACACACTTTTATTCTATTTTAAGCCTTTGGTAAGCCACCAGCCTAGCACTTTATGCATTTGATTCAATTCTTCTGAACTACTTTTTTTTTTCTTGGCACTCGTTTGAATGTGCAGAACTCATTTCATTTTGATTGGTCGTAATGTGCCCTTTCCAGTGTTTATCAGACATATCTCGTCTTTAAAGCATTGTACTAAATGACAAATGCCATTTCTGCACAGTCTACATTAACATTCCTAAGGAACATAGAAAAGCCAGATGGCATATCATCAGCTCAGAGAAAATACATCTCAAGGTTGTTTCAGTGCAAACAGATAATAATGTGCCATTGGTGAAATCACTAATATCAGGATGCTGGATCTGGAGAACACTGACACTAGTTCCATCATACTGACTGATGAGAAGCTCTTCATCAGGACAGTATTCGGACCAAGCGGCAGCATGGCTTATTTTTACCCAGTGAGTGGTACTGTCCCTGTAATTCCTAATATGAAAGCACATGAGCATGAAGAGGCATTTCTGAATGCAGTATAATGAGACTCATTTTCCTTCAGCAGCTTGGAATTTCCAGAGCTATGAATGATTTTTTTCTCCACCTGTAATTCCATACACCAAGTTGGCACTGAAGTTTGTAACAGGACTTAGTGGGCCAGTTCATGAATTGGAAAATGCCATAGCGGGTTAATTAATCCCTGGGGTTTAGAGTGCCTGCAAGCAACCGTTTTGTATATTCAAGCCACAACAAAAGTTTCTTGTATCATGTAAACTTTAGGAGGGGGGTTGTTGGCATGGTTAACAAATCATCTACAACCCCTGGGCCCTTTTAGGGTTGTGGGTGATTTGTTATCCATAGTCACAACCCACCCTTGCTAGGCTCCAACGACACAACATAACAAGCCTCAGCCACAGCTTGAATATGTATTTGAATATGCATATATTGAATATGAATATTTGTTTCACTTTTAATGGAGGACCCCATACTGGAAACATACAGTGCCGCAAATAGGAAGTGGCCACACCCACCAAGTGGAATGGACCCCCAGACTTGTTGATTTGGCTTTGTAGTATTATGAAAGCTGTTTCTGGAGATCGCTGAGAGCGCAGTCCAAGAATCTGAGGGCTCATGCGCATCCAGCGCATGGAGTAAGGCACAGTGACCTCCACTGCTGCAGCACCTCACACCATGCGTTTCATCTAGATGGCCAGGGAGGAGAATGGAAGTGCCGACAGGAAATGGCATAAGCCACTGGGCCAAGCTCTTTCCCCAGCAGACCCCCTTTCCCCCTCCTCAAGGCCCAGTTGTATCCTTGGAGTGGTGGCTGAGCGAGGTTGGGGGCTCTGCCTTCAGAGGCTCAGTCCCCAGGTCACCGGACCTTGAGCTGGGGCGCCATGTAATCCTTGCCCCCACTCTCCCCAAGAAGGCTTATTTCTAGAACAGGGCAGGTTGGTGGATGGGGAGAGGAGGTTGGAATGCTGAAAGGCATCAGTGCAAGGCACTGACCCCATTCTCCTGCCTCCCTAGCCTTATGTTTGCTGGCCACTGCCTGGAAACACCTTCAGGGCAGTATCCCGTTCTGCTGACAGCACATGGGGCTCACCCCGCCATGGTTCCACATATATGTAAACTACACACACATATATATACACACACATATATGCATATGGGTAGTGCGTTTTTTGTAAGAAAAAAGGTGCCGGAATTCACATCTTGTTAATCTTTTATTTAAAAAATTATATATTCAGTTAACATTAATTTAATTTACCGTATTTTTTGCTCTATAAGACGCACCTGACCATAAGACGCACCTAGTTTTTAAAGGAGGGATCCATGGAAAACTTCCTGATAATCACAGGCACATTCCCCATCACTTCCCCATGGGCTTCATTAAAAGACGGGTTGCCATTTGAAAACACACACTGACCTGTGATTAAGAGCTCTCACCTGCGCCGGAGGAGGGGGGCAGAGCAGGGTGCGCCGAGCGCATGCCGGCCATGTGGTGCCACGTGGGGCCAGCAGCGTGCTGGCGGTCTTCTGGGTGGTGCGGCGGCGGCAGGTCTTCCCAGGCGGTGGGGGTGAGCAGTTCCCGGGCGGTGGGGGTGAGCACACCGTCTCTCTGTGCGGCTGGCAGGTTAAAGCCTGCGGCTCCTCCTCCTCCGCACGCCTCCCCCTGAGCAGCATAGCTCTCACCTGCGCTGGAGGGGGGGGGGCGGAGCAGGACGCACTGAGCACGTGCCGGCCAGGTGGTGCCACGTGGTGCAGGCGGGCCAGCAGTGTCCCGGGCGTTGGGCACACACACATTCGCTCTATAAGACGCACAGACATTTCCCCTTACTTTTGAGGGGAAAAAAGTGCATCTTATAGAGCAAAAAATATGGTATTGTATTTAAGGCAAATGTTCATAGTAAATTTCAAAGTTTTGTCCAATTCTCATCCAACAAATCTTGACTCCTTTCCCTGCTGTTAGTATCTATGTGTTCTGTCGTCGTATCTGTTAATATTCTGGCCTTTTTATTAGCAGGACCAGTGGCTGAGAGGTAATTAGTAATTTTTTTCATTTTTAAATTTGGGCTCACATTTTTACACTAGAAATTAAAAAAAGATTTTCAACTCACCAATGGTTTTTTAAAATAAAGAAATTTACCTTTCACACATAGTCAGTCACTGTAAACACACCCACACACGTCAGTTGTGTAACGAAACATAACGGTTGCCGCCCGCAGTAAGCACTCAGCGCGCGACCACATGACCAAGCACAAGCCGAGCATCACCACAAGCTGAGCAGCACGATCACAACCAGCGCGGACAAAGCACGCATGCATCGGACTCGACACACAAGCAGCCCGCATGCACCTTTTTAATGAATTCGCCACCAACCTGCTATGCTCGACAGGGCGATTCAAATCCACGTGGACCAAACATCAAATTTTCAAAAGTTACTTTTAAAACTTGGAAAATCCATAAAAAAAAAAGGTGCCGGAACTCCATTCTGGTGCGTTCTATGACAAAAAAAGCTCTGTGTACGGGGACCTGGGTGATCCGGGTTGTAGTCCTCGCATGGCCATGATGCTCACTGGGTGACTTTTGGCCAGGCGCTTACTCTACACCCAACCTCACAGGGTTGTTGTCATGAGGAGGGAATGGAGTGGAGGAGGGCTATGTAAGCTGCCTTGGGTTCCTCACAAGAGGCAGTGGGGCAGAACATATATGCAGTGTTGTGATCAGGATGGCGACCATGATAATGGACAGCCCTGCCAGTTCTGTTGTGCAGGCTGCACCCATCTCTTGTATGGCAGACGTTCAGTACCTCTAGAGCAAGGGCTGAAATGAGTGGAAACGGTAATTTCTGGGACGTGGCAGGTTGGCCATGGGAACTCCATCAGCCGACCCTGTTCCAAAACAAGCACTCTCGTGGGGGAGGGTATAGGATGGTACGGAGCCTCAGCTCTGAGGCCTGCAACCACAAAGCAGGGACTCTGAAGGCTAAACTCCAACCCTCCCTCTTCCTGCTGGAAAGAACCGTGCCGCAGGCTTCTCTGAGGAGGCGGCTGGGCCTCCAAGAGTGGGGAAGGGCCATGCTCACACTCATGGTTCTGTACCCAATAAGTCTGAAGATGTAAATAGTGCTGTGAAAACAGAGGGGTTTTTCTGTAGAAAAGTTACATGGAGGGGGATGTTTTATTGTAGTGTGCCTTTTGCAGAAGATCTATGCAAGGCACCAAAACAACCAGCAGGTGGTGGTGTTTGCGTTGATTTAAGAGCTAGTCAAACAGTAATAACAGAAATAAGGACTCTGATTCAGCCTGCCGTGTGCCTGGCTGACAACAAAGGGCACAGGGAGCTGATTCATATGGTTTTTTGATAGTGTGGCCTTTTAACAATGATATTTTATGATCTGACATTTTTATCATCATGTTATTATTTTGGTTCACCTTGGGAATAGAATTGAAAGGCAGCATACAATAACAAAATATATGAAAGTGGGTCATCAATATGTTGAATAAATAAAGTAAAAGAGCAAAATAGTATTAGAACTGTGTGTGTTTCAAAACCTGACACACAAACTTTCCAGCCATGTATTTTCGTCTTCATTCTTTCATTCATTCATTCCACTTCTATACCACTCCTTAGGCAGTCCTCTAGGTGGCTTACAAAGATTCTCTCATTCTCTCTCTAAAAGTTAACAGGAAAATTCGAGACATGATTAAAATAAAGAAATAAAAAATAAATCCTAATCATATGCTGCCAAATTCCTGAGAAGAGTAGACCAACTGACTTGGTGCCTAAAAGATAACAATGTTCATACCAGACAGGGCTCACTGGGGAGATTTCTAAATTGGGGGGCCACCACAGAGGAGACCCTTTCCCTTGTTGACACCCTCTGAGCCTTCCTTGTAAGAGGCACCTGGAAGAGGGCCATAGATAATGAATGTAGTATATGGGTAGGTTCATGCTGGGAGAGGCACGCCATCAGGAATTGCAATCCTGAGTCATGTCAGGCTTTATAAACCAGCACCTTGAATTGTGCATAGAAACATATACACAACCAGTACAAGAGGGACAGAATTCGTGTTATATGTTCAGACCTTCTGGTTTTCATTATCAATCTGAATGCTGCATCCTGTCCAGATAGGGGCATGGCTGGGCTGCCAGTCTTGACAATAATCCCTTTGCCAATAAAAGAAGGAATGGTTGTTAAGGACAAAATGAGTTAGCTGTATTACCAGCTCACCTTGGGGGTATGGGGCAGAGATTTCACAAGACTTGACTAGATCAAAGTGTCTGAACCACTGCAGGACAATCATTTTGTGCACTGAATTTATCTGTAGACTAAAAGAACAATACTGGACTGAAAGGAGGCATTCTCGAATTCATAACAATTTCTGAACCCAATCAACTAGACTTAGGGTGGATCATCAGATACGGCAGAAGTAAGCAATGACCTTTTCCAGCCCACACAGTTTCAAGAAGGTGGATCTCTTGTACAGAGTATAATCAATATGGTTTTAGATTGGGGGCAGCAGGAAGAAATGCAAAATCCAAAAGTGATAACAAAAGTCTTGCTTTATTTATCCAAGAGAGTGAAAAAGAAGTGATCCTATTAAATTTCTTTTAGGGAATCCTGTAAATATTTGGCATACACCCTGTCCTGTGAAACTTAATGGGAATAATTTCTGAGTACAAGCAGTCAATACAAGAGTGGGGAAAACATTTTCAGGAGCGTATTGCTAACAATATCATGACCAACCATAAGTAATTCTTTAAATATATCTGAAGCAGGAAACCAGCTGGGGGGGAGTTGCATCACTGAATTATAATTGAGTTAAAGGTGTACTAAAGGAAGGGAAGGAGATTGCAGAGAAACAGAATGAATTATTTACATCTGTTTTTACTGCTGAAAATGTAGAACAGATACCTATGCCTGAACTGATGTATTTCGGAAAGGGGTCTAAGGAACTGAGACAAATAGTGGTGACAAAAGATGTTCTCAAACATATTGACAAACTGAAAGTTGATCACCAGACCCAGATGATATCCAGCATAGAATTCTTAAAGAACTTGAATATGAAATTGCTGATCTCCTAAGAAAAACATGTAATATGTCCCTCTAGTCAGCCTCTAGCACATACAGCTGGAGAATGGCCAATGTAACACCACTTTTTAAAAGGGGTTCCAAGAAGAAAGACAGGCTGCTTACCTGTAACTGTCCTTCTTTGAGTGGTCATCCATGCATTCACACACCAATGTCTGGTGCTGAGTAAAGTGGCTGAAACTATTAGAAAATATTAAATTAGAAAGCATACAAAGAATATTTTTCATGCTTCTGCAAAGTTAAGTCCTGCCTCAGTGGCCTTTAGAGTTCTTTGAATGCATCAATAAAACCGTGGACAGGATAATCTGGTACCCAATGTTTACTTAGATTCCCAAAAGGCTTTTGACAAAGTCTGTCATCAAAAACCCTGAGCAAACTTAGCAGTCAAGGAATAAAAGGAAATGAAAGGTTAAAGAAAGTAAAGCAGAGAGTAAGAATAAATGGTAGATTACCCCAATGGAGGGATGAAAACAGTGGGTCTCACAGGGAACTGTATTGGGACCAATGCTTTTCAAATTACCATGTATGAATAAGCAGCAAATTGTCCAAGTCTGTTGATGATATAACATTATTAGGGTGATTAAAACAAAGAGGAGACCCAAAAGGATTTCTACAAACTGGAAGAATAGGCATCAAAATGCCTATTCTCCCAGTTTGGACTTAAATTTAAGCAAATGTACATTGGGATAGAGATCTGATCTTGCTGTCGCTGACAAGAGAGATATCTTAGGATTGGATAGTGGACAGCTCAATGAAAATGTCATTCCCTTATGCAGCTGTTTAAAAATTTAAACTCTGTGTTAGGCACAATTAGAAATGGAATTGAAAATAAAACCTCCAGTATCATACTCCCTTTATACATGCCTATGATATACACGGTCACTACACCTAAAAAGAATATTGTAGAGTTTTAAAAGTGCAGGAAAAGGCAACAAAAATGAATATGGGACTGGAATAATTCCCCTAGGACAAAAGGTTACAGTAGCTGGGATTTCTTAGCTTAGTTTAAAAAGTAAGTAAGGGAGAAAGAAGACAGAGATGTAAATAATATGTGGTATGGAGAAAATGGAGGTATTTCTCCCTCTCTCATAATACTAGAACCCTGGGTGATCCGATGAAGGTGATTGGTGGGCAATTCAGGACTGGTAAAAAGAAGTATATCCATACATAGCTCATAGCTAAACTATGGAATTTGCTTTCAGAAAATGTAGTTTTGGTCACCAGTTTGGACAGCTGTAGATACATTCAGGGAGAATCAGCCTATCAATGGCTACTAGTCCTAATAGCCACCTCCAGTATGAGAGGCAGTATGCCTAAGTACACCAATTGGCGAGGAACATGGTGGGAATGCATTCTTGCCCTCATGCTCTGCTTACAGGGTTTCTGGGGGCAGCTAGTCACCACCTTGTGAACAGGGCACCGGATTAGATGGATCCTTAGCATGACAGGGCTAGCTCTTATGTTCTTATTTCTCTTTAAAAGCCGCACTGTTGGGGAAAGAGAGCCACTGTGGTGAACTTTTAAGGCCCCCTGATGTTTTCAGGGAAAGGTTTGTCTTTCTGTCCTTGACTAAAATGTCATCCTCTGATGATATTTTAAAAGGATTCTAGCCTTTCCTCAGTCACCTGAAAAAAATTGTTTGTATAGGCTGTGAAATTCCCTCAGGATGAAAGGTGCCAAGAAGAAACCAACCGCGTTTGGCAAGTGGCATTAAAGCCTTCCCCTTGGGATGCCATGGGCCAAAAACTGTTTAATGAACCTCTAAATAAATGCTTTGGAGTTGAACCACACTTCACATTACAATTTTGTGCAAGAATTTTCCTCATCCCAACCTGTTCAGGGTATTGTGTCACCCACTGCAAATGGATTATTACACAATCCTTTTAAGTTGGGCCTCTGGAATAAAGTTTATAACTCGAGTACAGCAATGCTCCTGGCTATTCTCTTTGACTGCAATTCTTGTACTACTTCACACAACCATCCCTCACCTCTCTCAATACCTTCCTGGATAGGTAAAAATGTGTGATGAATCCCTTCTTTTTGCACTTACCACTCCTGCCCATGTAAGGCCCAAAGTGAAAGTGATGAGACGTCTGAACTCCAAGCATCCTTGTCCTGGTTAAAACAGCTGCTGGACGGGGTGCTGGGGAGAGATGAGTTAACACCATTCCTTTACTCCATTTACTTAATTTAGCCATGGAGCAGGTGGAAAGTGAAAGATGCCCACATGGGCTTGTTTACTTAGGGTCCTGTCTTATGTGGCTGCCTGTAACCTTCCAAACGCAGAAGGTTATGGGTATCCAGTCCAGCAAGGGACGAGCACAAGAGGTGAGAATTGCAGGCATTCTCCCCTCACCTTCAAGAACATGTGGATAGCCAGTTTCAACCATCTGAATGTTTTCTTGCTCTTCCTGAGGAAGAAGGGATCAGTTCATGACCTGACTTTGGGAGAAGCCAGTGGTGCCTCACCCATCTTCCCTCTGTTCAGAATGGCCCCATAGTGCCTGTCTCAAAAATGGTCTTCCATCTTTGGTCCTCACTTGGTGCGAAAACAACTCTGCTAGCTGAGAGGGTGGAGAGGAACCCCTCTGAAGGCAAAGTCCCTGCTGGAAGACTTCTTTGAAGTCATAGTCACAGCCTCAACCTTTTCTGAGGTTACAGCAGGCACTCTACCTTTTCCTATGACCATCCAGCCAGTGGCCAGGCTCATGTTATGAGAAGCCATGGCGATTTCTTTCCCTTATTACTTGGTCCTGTCATCAGGACCCAGTTGGGGCATTTCTGCATGGTACCTTTAGTGTTCTGAGAGACTGATGATCTGTTCTAAGGTTTCCATGCTTCACTGTGGCTTCTACAGTCATTTGGGCCTGGGGTTTCCATTTTATTACCATTGTTGGTATGGAGATATGGTAAGAGTCTCATAGAAAAAGCAGTTTCGGAAGTGGTTGCTCAGCTGTCCATTCTCTGCTCCTCTCAGCTCCCTAGCAACACATGCATCATCACCTGTTTTATTCCCATTGACTGAGTGAAGTGCCTATCTCTCTGTTTACTTTTGGGAGCAAGGGAAAAGTAGGTAAATGCACAGAGGGAGAAGGGGGGAATTGTGGCAAAAGTGTTTGACTCAATAAAAATTCCTTTGAGGGTTGGGGTGGTTAGGAAATGTTACAGTGATGCAGATACACTCCAGAGGGGGAAGGGGGAGGAACAAACTTGGAAACTCAGCAGACCGGTCAAGAAAGGACTGCTTCGGCCCACACAGAGCAGTATTGACAGGGAACCACACAGTCCTCTGGCTGGTAAATTTGGGCAAACATCTGCACACCATGGACATTCATAGGACTGTTTTCCATGACATGAGGTCACCCCCAGCCAGTGTCTGCCAGGCACTGGATTGTTCCCTCACAGTATTTCTTTCTTGCTTTTCACAATAGGCCTCCGGGTGTCTTACAGTGAACACTCCTTTTCTCTGCTACAATGTTAAATGTGGAGTTGCTGTGTGTCTGTTTCACAATAGTCTGGATGCCACTGCCAAATGACAGAAGTGAAGCAGAAGCATTCAATGGAACTCTCTTGAAAAGCCTGGAGAGACTGTCTGGGCCTACTCAAAGTCCCTAGGTAACTCTTCCATGTTTCTCTAGGAGTAAATGCCCTAAGGCATAATGAACATGATGATGGGATTGGTCTAATTTGTTGATATATAGTATGTTACCTTTATACTTAAGTACACAAATGAGAGAAAGAAATAATGCATAGAACCTCACCTTATATTCTATTTTGTACAACTTTTCCCACTTCTTTTTGAGGCTCCTAATTATGCTACCTGGGCCTCTCTATAATTGTTCATATGGAGCAACCAGTTCCTAAGTGTCATTTGCTGCATGATGAATGGGAAGAGGGCCGAGCTTACTTCTCCACCATATTCTGAAGGCGCCTGACAAATGGATGAACCAGAGCATAGGCAGGCTGGCACAAAGTGTCATGGACACTTTTATTCATCAGCATCTTACGCCATTTCCAATTCTATTGGGGAATTAATTGTACAGCAGGTGTGGGTGACATATGGCCTTCCAGATATTTTTACCTAGACAGTGGTGGCTAGGGCTGGTGGGAGTTGTGGCCCAAAACATGTGGAGGACTTCACCTTGCTCATCCCAGTTGTACAGGACAGGAGATGTCCTAGATGGCTGTGATCTCACTCAAACACTGTCTGGGCCTGCATGACACGACAACCTGCCATAGGCAGCCAGCCAGCCAGCCATGGTGAGTTCACATATCATTCCATCTGAAGCATCTTCTATGCAGTGGCCTGTTTTTCGAGAACAAGGCAAGTAGAGAATTCATAGCTTGTTGTAGGGTTGTGCTTCTCATGATGGGTGTCACATTGTATGAACCCAAGAGACTGATTTCATCATGGGTTGCTCTGATTGGCTGCAGAGCTGCTCAGGAACCGCAACAAAAATGCCCATGCCACTGTTTTTTTTGCAACCTGACCGGCATCTATCCTTTGACCCTTGGAGGGATATCACTTGTTCCCAGGTTTTTATTTTTTATGAATCAAAATGTGCAATTGAGTCATTTTTTTCAGAGGTGGTCCATCTTGCACAAGTACACACTTAGAGCTATCCATTATGAGAAAATATGTAGGTAGTCCCTGGGTTATGAATGCCCAGGTTATGAACAACCTGTAATTACGAATGAGCAAACCTGGAAGTCCCATCTCATCCTTGAACGGCAAGCGGGCATTTGTGGGCACTGGGCAGCGAGGAGAGGAAGGAAGGAGGAAGGAAGGAGGAAGGAAGGGAAAAATAGAGAGTGAGGGAAGGAGGAGGGAAAAAGTGGCACCGGTGAGCAGTGAAATCAGAACTAGAAGGCAACTCCAGTAGTAACCGCCCTGACCCAGCAGCACAAACTGTGACTCTTCAGCACCAGGTCCATCCTCTCCAACACCAGCCCATCTCCATCATCATCCAGTTAATGTCAGGCTTAATGTTAGCTCAAGAAGTGTTTATCTTTAATAATTTCTACTGTTTTTTCTCTTTCTAAGACTGTTTTGAGAACTGTACTGTATATTATTTATTTATTTATTTGAAATATCTTGTATACTTAATACATACATTCTCTCTCTCTCCAGTACCTGTCATTACTGAAATACATATTACTGTATTGTTATTATTAAAATGCTGTATTGTGTTTAAAATGTTTTAGGGTATTTCTTAAGTGTTTTATATGCTTTTTATACACCTGATCCGACTTGTATTCAAATCCAACTTAAGGATGTTCTCAGAAATGGAACTTGGCTGTAACTTGGGGTCTACCTGTGATTGCCTATCAGCTAGTTTGCACACAGGTGTGAAGGAAATAAAAATAAGAAATGGAAGTAAAAGGAAGGAGGGAGTGAAAAGGAATTGAGATTTGTGCAGGGAGTTGCTGGAAAGAGGAGGCAAGATGGAGTCTGCCACGGAGTGCCCTGGGATGCAGGCAGAAGCCCACTGGAAGATGAAGGAGGGGGGAAAGAAAAAGCAGCAAGCTGGATTATCTGTCAGGCTTGCCATGAGTTGTTTGGTAAATAGCCACCCCACCATGGCTTATCTGGAGAACGTGAACAGCCCTACTATGTTTGGTGCTAGTGAAATAGTTTAGATGTGATAGAGGACCTGCCCTTACCCAATTGCAAATGGAACAAGCTAAAATTCTGTATTCAGAAAGCTGGAAAGCAGAAATTAAGTGACAAGTAGAAAGATGAGATGCTAACAGAAAGGGCAAAGCAATTTTTAACATTGAGCCAGAATAAAAATAGGTGACTAATTAGCAGTCTGTCTCTAAAGGGAACATCTTTAGCACTTTAAAAAAATCTATTATTAGACCTTGCTGAAATCATTTGAAGGCTAACTGGGAAAATTACGTACCATGTTGTAAATTCCAAGAAGATTTGTAAGCAGCTGCTGGAGTCACTGGGGCAAACTACTTTGCAAAGGGCTTCTTGGTCCTAGTTAGCATACTGTTTTTGCTAAGGGCCTTGTCACTTGAATCTCCTAGTTATGAATTAATATTCATGATCTGTAATTGCAGTAGGACAGAACTGAAAGCATAGAATTAATTCTATCACAGTATTCTGATTAAGGATAGAGGGCCACTTCAAAAATATCAAACATACCCAGTGGCTAGCTGAATCCTAAATGTATGTTTTTGTTTGAAGCAACAAACCATTTCAGCTCTTACATGTCAGATCTGCTGCTTGTTCATTCTTGATTTTAAGCAATCCCCTGTCTTTGAGAATGTAATATAGAGGCAGCATTTGCTAATATTTCTGTAGCATCACATTTGTACTTTTAGCAGATGGATCTTTCAGTAGGCTGAGCACTCATGAATTACCAGAAAAGACATAAATGACCCAAAAGGAGTGAGTGCAAAAGGGGAAAATTTGCATAAAATCTGCATGCATTAAAGTCTATGTCAGGTTGCTAATTTACTAATTATAATTATAATCTAAGTAAAAATACAGTGCATCTCACTATAAGTGGAAGACTGTGACCTGTGTACCTATCAGTCCTGTTCAGATGCTAACTGTTGATAAGCAACAATTCTTATTCTCCTTCTTTAAACTGGAATTGGGAAGTCCTTCAGTCTTTAAAGGAGCTATTTATGGTACTGAACCCTAATGTCGGCATCCAGGGTGTGGGCAGCTGGGTATCAGGTCAGGGCACCGGGACCCAGACAACTGGCACGATATACAGACCCATTCCAAATTGCAGACAGGCAGTCCAGAGATCAAGGTGGGTAACAGATGTGCAAGGCAGGCCAGTCCAAATAAAGCAGAGCAGTCAATGCCAGTCAGGAGTCAAAAGCCAGAGAGACAAGCTGAGGAGAAGCAGATACCTGGGACTGGAGCAGAAGGCAGAGCAGGTGAAAGTGGGCATGGTCCAGAAGCAGAGGCAGGAGCAAGGCAACAGGCAGCAGTTCCAGAAGGCACAGGAAACTCCAACAACATCAAGGCCCTTTACTGCTGAAGCAGCATCAGAAGGGAAGAGCCAGTTCTTATATAGCTCTTCCCTCAGGGCTTCCAGGTGGTGCTCGTAACATCCCAGGTGGCTGCAATTGACTGTGGGCCCAGCCGTGCAACCACCAGGGCTGCTGTTCTGGCCTCTGGCCAGAAGAG